CCCCCGAGGCAGAAGGGGAAGGAGCCAGGGGCACAGTCCCCAGGGAAGACAAAGGCCACCAAGCCCTCAAAGGCAGGGCAGGCTGGTGGCTTGGGTGTACGTGACGGTGCACCAGTGATCCCTGACAACGGAGCCGCGGCTCCTTCAGGAGAGGCGTGCCAGGGGATGCCAGGGAAGCCTCTCCAACCCAAGATCACGGCAGCTTTCAGAGGGGATGCTGCTGAGGGAGCCTGGAAGGATCCTGCAGCTGAGATCCCTGGAGTTCCTGCAGCTGAGATCCCTGGAGTCCCTGCAGCTGAGATCCCTGGGGTTTCTGCAGCTGAGATCCCTGGAGTCCCTGCAGTTAAGATCCCTGGAGTCCCTGCAGCTGAGATCCCTGGGGTTCCTGCAGCTGAGATCCCTGTGGTTCCTGCAGCTGAGATCCCTGGATTCCCTGCAGCTGAGATCCCTGTGGTTCCTGCTGAGATCCCTGCGGTTCCTGCAGCTGAGATCCCTGGGGTCCCTGCAGTTAAGATCCCTGTGGTTCCTGCAGCTGAGATCCCTGTGGTTCCTGCAGCTGAGATCCCTGGATTCCCTGCAGCTGAGATCCCCAGGAAGCCCTCAGAGATCCCCATGGTTCCTTCAATTGAAATCCCTTGGGAGCCTACCCCCGAGATTCCCAGGAAGCCTTCATCTGGGATCCCCAGGTCTCCTCCTATTGACATCCCTAGGAATACTGCAGCTGGGATCCCCAGGGTTGCTACTCCTGAGATCCCCTGGAGACCTGCCCCTGAGATCCCCAGGAAGCTGAGCCCCCCATGCTTTGCAGATGGGGCTTCTGCAAGGTCAAACACCCTGGATGTGACCTGGCCTGAGATGTATGACTATTTTTTCTGTGATTCCCAAGAGGAAGAAGAACTGGGGAGCTCAGTGGAGGGGCGGAGATCACCCTTGCAAAGGGAAATATCCTGGCCTGAACTGTACGAGTATTTTTTCAATGAACCAGAAGGAAACAGGAAAAAAGTCAAAGGTAAAGACAGGAAAAGAAAGAAGTTCAGCAGCTTGGACCACGCTGGGCTGCAAAATGAGGATCCCAGCTCAGCTGCAGTCAAGGACACTGTGATTATCTCAGTCCCCGAGGTGTGTGAACACTTCTTCCCAGAGACACCTAGGAACAGGATGGGCTGGAGAGGGATTTTCTCAATTGCTCCAGCCTCCGAGGTGAAGAGAGCTGTGAGGGCTCTGAAGTCCCTCCTGCAAAGGCAAATCCACCCCGACAGTGGCCAAGGCCCAGCCTCCCAGGCTCTGGTGCCGAGAGGATCCGCAGAGAAGTTCGCCCTCGTCCCACTGGCTCCCCTGGGAAGAGGCCAGGTGTGGCCAGAAGGTGAGGAGATGGCCCTTGCACTGAGAGGTAAAGCATGTTATCCCCTGCAGGGATGTGTCCCATGCTGTGTCACGCTGGCTCTCCCTTGGGATGCTCCCACTGTCCCCGTGCCAAGCGAGTGCTGCTGGCCAGGTCCTGCAGGCTGGCTCCCAGCACTGCAGCAGGCATGGACAGGGAACCTGGGACTTTTAAAAACATGCTCTGAATTCAAAAAACACCCTCCAGAGACCCTCCAGAGGTCACCTGAACGTTGACTGTTCCTGGAGGCAAGTGAGAGAAACAGGAATAAAGGGAGAGAAGTTTGACCCACAAGGACAGCCAGTGTATTTGTCTTAAAGCTTATATGATGCTTGGAGCCACAGGGCCTCGTAGTTAATATTAAACCCAAACAATGAGTGAGTCATTCCAAAGGGTGCCTCAAAATAGAGCTTCCAGTTGGTTTGCAAGGAGAAAAGCCCCTTTGCCGTGGTCACAGATAATTAGGAAGTCAGTTTTAATTAAAGGCCTGATCAAATAAACATGGGAGCAAAAATAACTTACTCTTACAGCATGAAGTTCCAGGCTGGAAATCCGTCAGGGGAGGAAATTTAGAGCACTCAGGGATGTCCCCATCCCTGGACTTAGCAGGAGGTGGGAGTGGGATCAGTGAGATGCTGAGCACTGGTGCTTCTCAGGGGAGTAGATGTTGTTCCAGAGCAGTGTGTGCCTTTGGGCACTGTCTGGCAGGAAGGGGCCCTTGCCCAGAGGTCCTCAGGAATCACTTTCTCCTAAATCTACTCCCCAGACCCACTTCCAGCCACCACACTGCTCTGGGAAGATACACAGGAAGGTGTGAGGCAGCCAGAGGCCCTGGGGTGGCATTAACAAACATTTGCCTCAGGGTCTTAAGAAAGTCTAAAACTGAGAGGGGTGAAAAATGCGCCCCTCACCTTAGGAAACATAACTGAGTCCTAAATAGACACATTTGACTTGACAAACAGTGGAAAAAAAAGTCTCCAGGGAGGGAAAATGCGTGACAACGACGTGACTCCCTGGGAGCGCGAGGGACTCGTGTCCCGGGGGGACAGACAGGGGCTGTGGCATAAAACCCAAACCTTGTGCTCCTCTTCTGGCAGGGACAGCAGAGGATCCACGAGTGCTGACCCACAAAGACATGTGCCTGGTGTTCTGTGCCTTTGCATCCTGGGCAGTGAAGACATCTGACCTGCAGGCTCCGGATGCCTGGAAGACCAGTACGTACAGTGCCCGGCCCGGGAGAGGGGTGGGAATGACTTTGTGGAAGACTTGGCAGGGAGAAAGGCAGGGGATACAAATACACCCACTGCTGCCTGTGGGAAAGTGCAGGCACTTCCCTGCTTTTCCAGAGAAGTGTCCTTTTAATGCCTTGCCTCTCTCGTGGAGTGGCAGCCCTGATTCCTGCTCACTCACATTGTCCTTTCCCCACGCCAAGTGGCTGCTGACAGGAGCTGAGCTGTAGGACAAGTCTATCCCCAGCCTTGGCCCTGCTGCTGACAGGGACCAGGAGCAGTTTGTCAGGAGAAGAGAGGCTTCTTTAGGATCTGTGCTGGCTAGCAGCGGGATCAGGACCTGGAGTGTGCAGGTTTAGGCTCCCTCATCTCAGCTGGAACAAGTGCATGTGTTTTTTCAAATGTGCTATGAAGATATAACCTTCTTTCTAAATACAGCTTAGCTGAAGTATTATCCTGGTGCACTGAGTCCTGCAGGTAAACGGAGCTCTGTTGGATCCTCTGCTCTCCAACCACAACATTGGGATAGGTGGTGGGAAGAGAGGAAGCTCGGGAATCACAAATTTGCTGAGCCCCCCCAGGAGTGTGGGTGGCTGGATGAGCAGGGAATGGGGCAGTGAGAGTAGCATTCCTCATTCCTACCCTGGATGGAGCAGCTGAGTGCAGGGTCCAACCCTGGAGAGCCCCTTCCATGGGGTGAGATGCTGGGAATGAGGCTTCCTGCTGCTTGTCCAGGGGGAGGAATGTTCCCCACTAAGGTCACACAGGAAGCTGACACCCTGGGCTGAGAATAGCTCATTAGCTAAGGCTGCTCAGTGCCATCATCACAAGGAGCTTTTGGCCTGCTCCTCCTTGTCTTCTGGGTATGGGATGGTGGACGTGGCCTCAGGGAGGTGAGAAAAGTGGGATACGGGTCCTCGTGCCCTCGGGATCACATAACCCTGGTGAGGACAGGAGATGGGAGGCAGTTCCACCTAGTCCTGGACTAGCTGTTCTCTTTAGGCATCCTAGGTTCCAGCTGAATTTCCCTGTTTCTGTCCCTCTAACACATAAATCAAAATCAAGTCTGAATTTAAACTGGGAACTCCAAAGGCATGGCTTGGGTTCCCAGTTTTGCTTGGGAATTTAATCTCTCTTATAAACCAAGCTAAAAACATTGGCTGACAGTACAGAGAAAAGCTTGATTCTGTGTATAATCCCCATTAGTTTTGTTGTATCTCTACATTTTTTGTTTTGGGTATTTTCTGCTTTTGGCTGGAATCAGAAAATCCCCAGATAATCCACAAAATGGTATTTTTCTGGCATCTTCATGGTCCAAACAGGAGTAGAAAATGAAGGGACTGTCCTGAAACCCTGGTGAGATTTTCAACTGTGTCTTCCTCATCCAGGATTAAACCTGTGTATCCAACCAGTCCATTAAATCTCCACCTGAACCTGTGTATCCAACCAGTGCACATCCCTACCCCACACAGGGAGCCTATTTAGTGTTTCCCTGAAAAAAAAGCCGTTTGCTGTGGAATGGTGGTGTGATCCATGTGCCCAAACTACAGCACTAGATGTGGGCAGCCAGGCTGTGGGTGTCTGGGAATGCACTGGGAATAAATTCAGTGTGGAGGGGGTGAAAAACAAAGGCAGGAGGAGACTGGGGGAGGGAGGGGAGTGACCCCTCTCTGGCCCACGGAACAGGGTGGGCCAAGCAGCTTGTGGTCTGCAGGTCTGGAAAAAAGATCTTTGGGTTTGGAAGAAGCACCCAGACTAACTGTGGGAATGTGTTGGGCTCTTTTCCAGTGTTCCTGGCAAGTTTTGGCACGCTCTCTGCCATCCGCTACTTCCGGAGGCAGGTCAGAGAAGGACAACCCCGGACTTAGGCTCAGCCCACACTGGAGGTGCTTCCTGGGGACAGGTGGGCACGGTGGAGGCAGAGACTTGGGACTTTGTTCTTGGACAGTGTGAGAAGCCTGGATCCCAGCACCAAGACTTCTCTGGACCCATCCCTACACGGGACAGGACGTCCCAGGAAGCAGGATCGTTCCGGTGACAGGAATTGATGGCACGGTAGGCAGTCGGTACCTGTACTGGAGAAAAGGGGAGCCCAGCCTGGGCTGGCTCTGGTCTTTCCTTGCACTCTCCTGGGACACTCCCTAGGAGCAGCCAGTGTCTGTTCCAGGGCACTGCTTATCCCTCCTCCCCGCTGAAGTCACCTGGTGGCAAAGGAAGGCACTGACGTGGTGGTGGAGGGAGGTGAGGGCAAAAGAAACTAGGAAAGTGCTTCATTGGTATGAAAGAGCTGGGATATCTGTGAAGGAAGAGTGGAGAGAGCTTTGGGAAGAGCTGTCTGTCCAAACATGGGGCTTGGCTAAGCATGTGCTGGCTGGGCAGCAGCTAAAGGGGGATGGAGGGGCCGCTCTCCTGGCAGAGCCCAGGGCTCCCATGTCTGGTTTGGCTCACTGCAGGAGGACTCATCCTCTTGGAATTCACTCCTAGAAGTCACAGCTCAGTGTAACAGTTCAGGAGGCTGAGATAAGGTTTCTGTTGCATGCAGCCACCTCAGCCCTGCTGAGCCAGAGCCACGTCTGTCCCCGTGGGTGAGGAGCACCCGCTGCAAGGACACATCCCAAACCCACAGGCAGAGGATGGACAGGGGTCACACAGCCAGAGCCAGGGAAAGGGGCAGCCAGGAAGGGTTCTGCAGGAGATGCACAGGATGGAAAGGGGCAGCAGAGAAAGGGCCTGAGCTCAGGGAAGTCTCAGGAAAGAGCCCTGACGAGGACAGGAGCATGTCGGAGAGGAGGAAGAAGTACGTGTACGTGTTTGGCTCTGCCCAAACCACACAAAGGGTCTGGATATATGACTTGTTCCCTCTTCTGCCTCCCACCCTGGAGGGGTAAAGTTGGCTGGGGGAGATGTGGGGTTAAGGGGGTGCTGTGGCTGAGTCTGTAACCTGGGGGCCTGGGAAGGGCTCGAGGGGGCCCAGAATGGAAGGTGGGGTGAGAAATAAAAAGGAAGCAATTCAGTTCCTCCCCTGTCTCCAGTGCCTTCCTCATCACTCAAGGGCATTATTCATGAGGGTTTTTCTTGACTCCCAAGTCTGGTAACAGCATGAATGTGAGATTAAGCACTCAGGGACCAGATCCACAAAGGTACTAAGGAAAATCATCCCAGAATACCAGTGTGGATCTGCCTGTGAGCTTTATAGGAATGATGTTTGTGATGTTTGTCTCATGAAACCAGAGAGGGGAGGTTTAGCTCTTTCCTTGTAATGCAGAGTGCCATGCAATTTTAATGTGTGTAGGGATGGACTGAAGACCATGTATTGTTGCTGATAAGAGAGCACACTGTGCAATTGTGCAGTGAGATATGTAACTGTAAGTAGTGAGAGAGATGTACAGGCTCTATATGGACTATAGCAGCTGTATATCCAGTAAGAGGAGTTTTGTGGAGGAGAAGAACAGATAAAACATGCTGGAAGCTTCTAATAAAGTTCTATTTCATTTACTACTTTTGTGTACATTCCTCTGTCTGCATGGTGGGTGTGGGAAACCATTGAGTGAGTACTGAGTTTTAAAGAATGAGAAATCAATGCATTATGTGTCTGTTGATACAAAACTGCAGGAGCTGATGGGCTGGTTTTTGGAGCCCTGGAGGACAGAGCATGCAGGGAGATGGGCTGTGTCTCCTCTGTTTGGCTCAGTCCCCATGCCTGCCCCTCCGAGACACATCTTGGCTGTCACATGTCGCTAACAGCCTGTTCCAGAGAACCCTCCTGCCTCAGAAGCTCTCAGCTTCTCTTCAGACGGCTCCTCAGGGCCCTCTGAACAGATCAGTGAGCACAAGTCAGTGCCCAGCAGCAGCTCCTGCCTTCGGTCCATCGACCCTCATCACCTCCGTGCTCCCTGATCCCGCTCTCCAGCCCGGGCTGCATCCAGGAACACCTGGCACTGCCTCCTCAGAAATGCCCAGCAGACCTGCTCCCTGCACCAAGCAGGAGCACAGGGGGGGCTGAAGCATTCCATATGCTCTGGTTTACTGTTTATCCAGCCATAATCCATGAAGCTCTCCCTGCCTTCCCCGTGGCAGGTGGGAACAGTAGCCGGGAGAGGGCGGGTGGGAGACGGGGAACAGCTGGAGGAATCAGGCACTTCCATTGTGCTGGGCTTTCCTGGGAGGCTGTCACAGCAGGAAAGGGCAGAGGAGGAGGGCAGCAGGCAGGGAAGGGGTCTCTGGCACTGCCATCTCAGGACCCTGCCAGGCCTCGGGGGCTCTGGCTCTTCCTGGCAGTTCTCACGCAGGACAGGTTCCCCAGGGGGAGGGCAGAGCTCAGCCCTCCTTGCTCGGTTTGAATTGTTCAGATTTTGTGTTTTCTAGCCTCGCCACAGAGATCTGGAGGAAAGAATGTTTTCCCTTCCCCTGTGCAGGTGCAGGAACAGCTCATTTCCCTCCTGGCCATGTACAGTACTGCCAGGTGCAACGCTGGCAGATAATAAAGGATTGTGTCAAAAATCACTGAATTTAATACTTGGCTGAGTGGTTTGTGTCTGTCTCAGTGATTGCAAAGTTGGCTTGGAGGTCTCACTGGAACTGGGAGGGTTTCTGGCCAGAAACCATAATGTTGAAGGCATTTTTGATGCCATTAGCTGCTCCAAGGAGGGGCTCTGCGCTGGCATGTGGGGCGTCTGCCCGTTCCCATATCAGCTGGATCTTTCCTAAGGGATGCCCTGGCTTTGGGGACCTCCTGTTCCCAGTGCCCCAATCCAGAGATGAGCCATACACAGCCAAACATGGCACTTGGGGTGGGAAAAGCAGCTCCTGGCTGTCCCTGACCTGCACAAGCAGGGAAAGGCGTAGTGGCACCAACTGCATGTTTTCCCACTCCAAAGGATATGGGGTATATCCCACCCTCTTAATGCCTCTGTCCCAGTGCTGTTTCTTCCCAGGAGAGCTGAGCACTCCTGTTGTGCTGCAGGTAACATGAGGTGCCTGTCACCCTTTGCCTGTCTGTGATAATTGGTGTCTGATCCTTTACAGCCTGGACTGGGAGATGTCAGTATGATTTGGCACCTCTGCCAGCTAAAAGTTACCAGAGGTGCCAGATGATCCAGCAGGTTACAGGTGCATTTCACACTCCTTTTGATCTGTGCTGGAAGAAGTGGATGAGATAAATATTTCAGGAGATGGATGTTTTCGGCTGACTGCAGAAGTGAAAGGAATTACTGAAAAGATCTTACTGGTATCAGGAGATCAGCTCTGGGAGAGTGTGCTGTGCTCAGTCAAGCAGCAGTGTCCCTCAAGGAAACCAGCCCGGGCTTGCCTGCAATTTTAATGCTTGGTTTATTCTCCGACCTTTTAAGCCCTCTCCTCTCCCTCCACAGGGATGCGCCTGCATCTCACCCCGGAGGGAGCAGCCAGGACCTCACCACCTTTTTTTTTTTTTTGGCAACAGCAGCAGCCACGGCAACAGCAGCGACCTTTCGGTGCATCCTCGGGCCCGCTCTCCCCGCTCCGGACAGGGCGTCGGGGCCGGAGGTGGGCCCCGTGCCCCCCCTGCCCGCCGCTCTGCCTCGCACGTAGCTCCCTCATCTGACACCTCGCCTTGCCAAGCGCATGAAAAAGTCAGGCAGGTGCACCCCGAGGGACCGGCTCCGTGTTTCATCCGGACGCACCGTGTGCCGGAGCCCCGCTGGAGGCAGGAGAAGCCTCTCCCCTCCCCTCTTCCCGGCGATCGCTTTTGTCGGAGCGGCTCCTTCGCTCTTTATTTCTTTTGCTTCGTCTCTCTGCGATGAAACCCGGGCGAAGCTTCCCACCGACATTCCCGTGGCCGTTTCCGAGCCGTGACTGGCTTCTCGGTGGAGTTCAGAGGGATTTTGGGGGGGGCTTGGTGCTGTGCCAGAGCCGGGGGGGAGCAGTGACCCCCCTCTTATCTCGGGCTGACAGAAGCGCCAGTTGCTCGGGTCACTTGGCCAGCCCTGCGAGCCTGACATATTCTGGTGGATTCTCCCACCCACAGGGCACTGAGGGAGTTGCTCGTCGCAGACCAGAGCAGATCCTGCACAATCCTCCTGGTGTCCTGGGAGCGGATTTGCCCGGCGGGTCCTTCCCAAACCTCAGCCGTCCATACAAACTGCTCCCCCAAGGAATTCCCCAACCCCCGAGTGCCTTTGTAAAGGCGACAAAAAGATGGGCAGCAGGGCTCACTTGCTACACCTAGTGTTCATTACAGAGGCTTTTCTCCCAGTTCCTGAAGCCAGAGGAGCAGGTTGCAAGCTCCACTTTATTTAATTTTTTTATACACCTCTTTGTTGTTTATTCTTTGAGGGGATAAAAAGGGTTGAAATTCTGGCTCGGAATTAAGAAAGCAGAGAGAAATCCAGCAGCCCACAGTGTGTCAATCACTGCTCTGGCTTTCCAGCTATGGAAAAAAGTGGTGGTGGGGGGACACCTGATTTGGGACTTTTAACACTTGGAGGGAGTGAGGGGGGTGGAGAGATCATTTGTCAGAGAGTGAATCGTTGGCAGCCAGTGTCTTCTCATGCCTTTCATCTGCCTCTGTGAATAAAGGTACAGCTATCCTGTGACCAGAAGGATGTGCACAGCCTTGCTGGCAGCTCTGGAGCACTGGACCTGCCTTTTGTGGATGACCTGGTCCCCATCGAATTCCTGCTGCAGCCAGGATGAAGGATGAATACATTTTTTCAGGAAATAAGAGGTGTTTTGTGCGCTTTCAGGTACTAATTTCCAATTCAATGCAACCTGCACAGAGACATCTAGTGCTGCTCTGAGGAAACCCTCTATTTTTAAATCCTGAGTCTTCTGAGAAAGGTGTTGGTGGAAAAGCAGGAGAGTGGGGGTTTTGGGGTTTTCACAGTCACAAACATCCTGTTCCTACCTGCTATGGATCCACCCAGATAGGAAACCATCAGGGAAAAACCAATGGCCAGCAAAACCAGTGACTCAACAGGGAAAACAGGCCGTGCAGAGGGACTTGGGTTTGATCATGACCAATTTGATGCTTGTGGGGGCTGGTTTGGGAATATTTTAGGGCTGGTCCACAAACATTAATTGATCTGCATTATTATAGTGGCCTAGAAAAGCTGTGCAACCCTCTGAAGTCAGGACAGACAGGGGCTATGGGACACTGTCCCTTGCCCCAGAGCTGTGTCCAGAACCTGTCAGGAAAAGCTGCAGCCACAGGGCTGCAGAGAAGTTGCCCAGAGAAGCTGTGGATGCCTCTGGATCCCTGGAAGTGTCCAAGGCCAGGTTGGACAGGGCTTGGAACAACCTGGGATAGTGGAAGGTGTCCCTGCCCATGGCAGGGTGTTGAAAACAGGTGTTATTGGGGTCCCTTCCAACCCAAACCATTCGGTGACCCTGTGATTCCCTGACTGATTTTACAGAGCACCTTTCCAGGACGTGGTGCTGAAGCAAAGTTCGATGAGCTTTGGCTTTAAACCTCCAGCCAGGTCTTGCTGCCTGACAAACACTGGGGAGACTTTGCTCAAGGATTAGGTGTTTGCAGGTGCCTGACCCAAACTAGAGACAGCCAGCAGTCTGGAACCCTCCTGGATAAAGGGCCCCAGGGAAGGAAGGATTTGGAAGGGACAGCAGCGATGGGGGAAAAAAATTACCTCCATTAAACCAAAGAGAGAAGGAAAGTATTCCATGGGAATGTGTATTGCAGTTGTCCAACCTCACAGAAACCCCAAGGGAACTTTAATATCAGCTGGAAGAGGATCTTCCCTTTTGATACATTGCAGATATTGCTGTTGAAACTCAGTTTTAAAGACCGTGGTGACCACGTTTGAAGTCAATGTGTTCATAGGGGCTCAAGAGCATGGAGACCTCCCAGCATATATGTGCTTTTGATGTTCCCTAGTGTGGTTTTGTTCTGAATAAATAGATAAATTTGGGGTTATTGGATACAAATCTTCCCAAAACAGAGCAAACCCGAAACAGAACAATGACAGCTACAAGACCCAAACCAACACACTCGTGAATGTGCAGACAGCTGCCCATTCTACAGTACTGAACCTCATCCACAGTTAGAAAATTAAATAGGTCTTTAACTCAGCCACATTTACACGTTACATACATAGAATCCACTCAAACTTTACATGTAAACTTCTTTGGATACCTGAAAAAAAAATAAAATTAAAATACAATGTAATATGCAGGTATTCAAGTACAAAGAGCTCCCCTGATTGTTTTGTTTGCACCAGTGAAAGAACAAAAATAGAGGTTTTGTTCCTGTGTTTGGTTTGCAGCCTCTTTAGGGAACAAAGGTTAAGAATTTGGAGCCTCAGGTAAAAACATTCGGATTTGCTGCTGACCTTCAATGTGCCAAAGGACCTGGCCTAAGAGGTTGGAGAATAATAGCACTGAGACTCTGTCCCCTGTTGTTTGTGTCCTGGTCCTGCTGTGGGTCTGGAGGGGGGAAGAGTGGGATCACAGCCCACACTGGCATTGCTTTGATCGACTGGAGTTTGGCTTGTGGCAAATTTTCTTCCCTCCCTGCCCAGACAAGTCACAGGCAGCATTCAGTGTGAGCCCAGTCGTGTGCAGAGGAGTGGGAGGAAAGGAGGCATTCCCTAAGAGGAATCCCCAGAGCATCCTTTCCAGGGAAGACCTTGGTGAACACAAGTCACTTGGCACGTTTGCTGGCAGCACATTTCCAGGCTCCACCTGCCAAGGTGCCAGGTTCCTCATGTCACAGGACACCCACCATGGTTTTTGGAGCCAGCACTGGCAGGAAAGAATTTTTTGCATAGGTTGGAAAGAAAGTCCCATCCTGCTCAGATCTGGTGGGTTTTTTCTCCATCTCTTGTCCAGTAACTCTGCTCTTGCAGGAAGACAATCCTATGAGCACAGCTATTGCTACCAACCTTGTATGCCAGGATGGGACATGTTTCATGTGTCCCTGCAGACTTCATAGCTCAGTGGAGGAAGGTTTGGCTTTAACAGCTGCTCTCAGGGCTCAGGGGATCATCAGAGGGACCAGCCTGAGGGCTCTGGGGAGAAGGAATCAAACTAACTCAGCCACCAACCATCCCTTCTCTTTGGCCTTTGAGTGACTGCTTCCTCTGAACACTCAGTCCCTTTTACCTGAGGGAGCCTGACCCTTTTTGTTCTTCCTTTCATTTTTGGGGACAGAGCTGTTCCCCAGCCAGGGCTCCCTGAGCACTCTCCTTGGCACGGCACACACGCTGCGCCTCCGTGTCCACAGGGGCTGTTGCTGCTGTGCTTTGCCCCCATCCCCAGATTTAGGGGAGAAATTTGAAGCCCAGGCCTGCCAGGACATGGGAAGCAGCCTTTTGCAGGGCAGGGCTCTTCCCTTTGCTTTGTGTGCCCTGGGTTCCTCATCCTGGAGGGAAGCCCAGCGAGAAAAGAGCCCGGGATGGGAGGGCTTTCTGTGCCTGGCTGTGGAGACCATCCCTTAGACCTGGTAAATCTGCTGGACTGGAGATGGGGAGGTGTGTGGGGTGCCTGGCTCCTTCTCCTCAGCTTCCCACAGGTTGTCATAGCTGAAGTCACTGTGGAAGCTCTGGAGCTCGGCATAGTCGTGGAAGGCGGCGGAGTCGCGGTGCCGGCAGCTGGAATCTGGCAGGTCGTAGGTGCCGACATTCCCACCTGGGGGAAAACAGACCCAAGGGATCAGAGAGCTCAGCAGCAGCAGCAGCAGCCTGATGGTCACCTTCCCCTTCGCCAGCAGAAGGTAAGAACGAGGATGAGTTAAATCACAGCCCAGGTGCAAATAGAGGTGGGCAAAGCGTGTGCGCCACGGGACAAGCCGCAGGTCCCCACGTGGGACAGGTGAGCTGTGAGTCAGTGGAAGCCATACAGGTGTCTCCACCAGGCAGACACAGGCCCAGGGCAGGGTGACAGGCAGAGGGCAGGGTCACAGGCTCAGTCCCACCCGGGGAAGCAGGAGAGATAAAGGGCACCAGCCCTGCTTGGAACGACGCTGATGGAGACGGACGCTGGCGGGGCAGGGAGGGTTCAGCCCCCCAGCACCCCCCCAAGAGTCTCACCTGGTGGGTGCAATGAAGGGCCCAGATGTTCCTCTGGCAGTGAAGAGATCTGGAAAGAAAAAGAGACACAGTGATGAGGATGACACAGCACTGCAGTCCTGGGATACTGCACACCAGGGAATCAGCCCTCCGTGGTTCCCCGCTCCCCAGGATGATCCCTGTCACTGAGCAAAGACCCCTGCAGTGAGACTCCAGTCAAGCTGGTTCCCCTGCACCCCATGTGTTCCCCTGCAGCCACTGTGGGGCTCCAGGGCTGCATTTACCATCTCACCTCCTCAAGATAAGAAGCTTCAGCCTGTGCCCGCAGCTGGAGCCGGTGGGAGGTGCCAGGGGTGCTGTAAATGGGAGCTGTGGGCACCTCTCTGCAGTGGCCACTGGGCAGGGGCTGGCAGTTCCATTTCTCCAGAGAGAGGTGCTGCTGGGGCACAGGGATTGCTGGGCACCCGTTTGCCTGAGCTGGACCCGTCTGCCTGTGGCACTGCAGGAACTAGAGCAAAGCAAAATCCAGGTTGGATACCTGCTGTGGAGAGCTGGGAAACACTGACCTGCTGCTTCCCACCTGCTGAACCAGCCCTGCTGTGAACACACTTACCAAACCAAGGCTTTCTGCCCTCCTCACAAATTCTACTACACCCCACTCCTGAAGGCCTTGGATGGGAAAGGGAGGATGGCCACAGACATAGTGGAAGTTGGCTGGGTGTGGAGGCAGTAAGATGATGCCCCATGGCAACCCAGGGGATACAGAAGGACAGGGAACAGTCAGGAAAGACCCTCTGAGGGAAGGGAGGTCATCACCAGCATGGAGAAATGCCAGCCACAGACTCAGAAACAGCCTTTTCCCAAGAGATGTGCAAAACAAGAAATGTAGCCTTCAATAGGCACTCAGTTATCGCATCTGGAATTTTTTGGGGTGGATAAAGTGGTCTCTGTGTCTGACTCATCCCTAGTTTCTGTAAACTGGAGCACATCTCAGTCTCTGCCTTTGTTTTGTGGTTTCTGGCTCTTCCTGGGATTATTGTTGTGACGCTGGCATCCAGTGATAAGACAGGGGAAACCTGTTCCCCTCTGACTCTGTCCTGGCTTGAAAAAAACCTGGGAACTATGCTGTGCCCTGCCCCACCCCGAAATGCAGGCCTGGAGTTTCCACATGCTGCTCAGGCTCAGGCAGATGGCAGGAAAAGAAATGGCCCGAGGCACAATTTCTGGAGCCAAAAGCCTGTGTGCTGAGTCAGGGCCAGCTGTAACCAGTAGCAAGCACAGGTACCTCTTCCAGGAAGTTGGAACCTGCCCCAGTGGGAGCACTGGGGGAGCTGGGGGTGTAGGGATCAGCGTACAAGTGGGAGCAGGGCATGGCCAGCCTCTCCAGGGAGCTGGAAGCTGTGGAGGGCTGGCTTCCCACCGAGCTCCATCTGCTCAGCTCCAAGGCAGAGTGGAAATAGGAACCTGGCATGCTGGTCTCTACTTGCAGTTCATCCCCAGGAGGGACTGGGGTGGGAAAATCTCCCTGTAACTAAAATCCCAAACGCTGCTCATCCACAAGGGATGATGGGAGTGACTGTCTGTGCTAACGAGGGGAATTCCTTGATGAACACTCACAGAGGGGAGGGAAACGTGGCATCACACACTAAACCATTGATGGACACATGCTGGAAAACCCTGGGAAGAAGAGGCCGTGTCCTGTGAGGCAATAACACTCCTACTCACCGAGCAGTGCCAGTCGTGTTGTCTCGGGAATTATTGCCCAGCATCCCGTGGCTCCGAGGGACATTGCTCCACCTGCCACGTTTAACCTCACCTCCCACGGGCCATTTTCCAATGGAAATGGATTTCACACCTGCCCAAGAGCACCTGCCAGCACTCCTATCCCTGCCAGTGGCACCGCAAGGGAAAGCTGAACCATGCTCCCCATTCCCAGGCAGGAGGATCCATCCCCCCAAAATCCACCCTTCTTACGCTGCTGAGGTGTGACGGGGGAGCTGGGGGGTGATGCTGTGAGCCGTGAGCCGAGTACGGCTCGTTGTACTCCGGGGACGGGATTTCGCCGTTGGGATTTTCGGGAATGAGGCTGCAGATGCTCCTCTCCGAGTCCTGGCTGGGCAGCTGCTGGATGCACGGCCCGCATTTGCCCTTGGATTTCCTGGCGCTGCCCCCTCTCCGCAGGTCCTGTGTGGGCAGCCCCGTGCTGGGCCAGTTGGCTTGTGCCAGGCACTGAAATGAGAAGGCAGACCCTGGAGCTGACTTTCCTCAGGCCAGGAACTCAGGGATCGGGATGGTCTTGCACGGGGTCCCTGCCCCGGGCACTCCTACAACCCTGGACATGCAAATGCTGCCCAGGGCCAGACCAAAATCCTGCCTAGCCCATCACCTCCACCCACCTCCAGCTCTTATTTTGGGGTCTCCTGGCCTTTGAACCACCCTGTTTGCCCTCTTGCAACCTGTCCAACAGTCAGAGTGGAGGACTGGGATGGGACTCCTCCGCAGCCTTTTCCCTTATCAGCAGAGGCTGAGCCAGGACAAACCCAGGCTCCAGGCATGGATTTGAGGCACCACACAGCAAACACTGCCCGCACCAGAGCGCTCTGCCCAAAGGCAGCGTCCGTCCCACACGGGGACTTTGGCAGGGGCTCACTTACATGGAGAGGCTGGGAATAGCCAGAGGAGAGGGCATCTTCGAGCAGCCTGCCCTCAGGCATCAGCAGGAAGGAGTGTCCGTCGGGCAGGGAGCCGCTGGTCTGGGACAGGTGGGTCACGGTGGTCACTCTCCCTCCGGACGCCCAGGAATTCGTGCGGCCGTCGGAGGTGAGGGACCCCCTCCCGCTGCTGGTGAACTGCATGGGGAGAAGAACATGGTGATGGAAGGACCCTCTGCATGGCCACAGGCACATCCCTCCCCAGCCCCAGCAGTGCCAGCCCAGCACAGCCCTCGGTACCCCTTGGGTTGGGGCTGTGTCCCCACGGCCAGCAGTTGCCCGGTGGCCATGCCTGGTGTGTGGGGTGTGCTGGTGGGTCCAGTTGGGGTGACCAGGGTGAATGAGGGGGGTGCACTGCAGGAAAGGGGTGCTCAGGCACCCTGACCTGTCCCAGCTGCAGAGCTGGCAGTGTGGGTCTCCCCTTCCTTGCAGGAATCACAGAATAACCAGAGTTGGAAGGGACCCACAAGAATCATCGAGTCCAAGACCCTTTTAATGCCCTTGTGCCCAATGCCTCACTGCACAACACTGTCACAGTCTATGTCCTGCTTCTGAAGGAATTCGCTATAATATCTGCCTATAAAATGTCATAAAGGGCTTTAAATAATTGGCAGGGCTCAGCAGCTTGCTGACAGCCTTCAAACAGGACGCCTGAAGACAAAGTCTGCTGCGTCACAGGAGTGCTCCAGAGACAGGACAGCCACCGATTCCCAGGCGACTGTTACCTGGCTGGGGTGTGGCGGCTTTGATCCTGAGAAACTCTCGGATCCGGAGAGGGAGGAGTCGGCGTTTCGAAACTGGGCCGTGTTGAGGCAGTAGAGCCACTCCTGGTAATCCTCGTAACTGCGGCAGGTCACCCGGATCGAATTGATCAGCCGGCCTGGGAAAACAGCACTGGCTGCTCTCACTGGGCTCCACTGACTCGGTGTTGCTCCCTCGATAAGCCCGTGGGAACCCTCTTGCTCCGTCCCCTCCCCACGTCCTCCTGGGGTCTGGAGGTGCTGGGACAATGGGAATGCTCTGCCTTTGGTGCTGCCCGTTTGTACCAGGCTGGGGGTAGGACAGGGGCAGTCCCAGCCTGGGTCTAAATGAGGGGGACACTGTGCACCCCTGGTGCTGTGGCCTCTTCCACCAGCAGAGCCAGGTCCTGCTGCTCATCGAGGGCACTGAGGGGCCCAGATTTCCAGGCAGTGCAGTTCACAGAGCCTGGCTCCCACACAGCTGAGAAGGGGCCACAGCAGCTCAGCAAAACCAGCAAACCAGCCCCCCCAGGACCCTTCGTGGCTGCTGCCAGCACACCCCGTGGTGTGGGGACACCCACCTTCGATTAAAAAGGAGCTTTTCTCGTTCTCTTCAAAAAGCACCTGGATGGCGTTGAGTGGCAGCTCGCCCTGTTGGAGAGAGAATCAGGATTGGGACCACAGAGCTGAGCAGATCTCCCAGTCCGTGCCATAGGGCACGTGGGCACTGTGGGAAGGACAACGTGGCTGCCCCTGCCCACCTTGGGGCAGCAAAACTCCACTTCCACAGGGGCTTTTCCATCAGGGGAGCCAAGAGGAGCCTTGTGCAGAGTTTTGCTGGGAGCACGAGGAGGGAAGCCCATGGTGAGGATGGAGAGAGGCTGGCAGGAGCCTGGCTGCAATTCCTGTGGCCTGGGGAGAAGGGGCAGCTTGGCCCTGCTGGGATGCCTTGGGATCCCCCATGGGGATGGGGAATCTCAGAGCCTGAATCCCCTAGGGCAGGTCTGCAGGAGACAAGAGGCACACCCAAGCTGCTGCTAAGCTGGGCGAGGATTTGGGGGCCTCTGTACCTTCACAGGTGTGGGGCACAGGCTTGTTGGAGAACTCTGTCTCCAGCAGATTGTCCCAGCTTGGTGTTTCCTGCTTCCATTTCTCCCAACCACCTGCCTTACTGCAGGAATGAAGCCTCTGGAGCCAGCATGACTGTGTGAGACTGCTTTGTTCTCAAAGTCTCTCCTGAGATCCGAGCTTGGAAAAAACACCCCTTCCCTCCCAGTTCTGTTTCCAGCAGTTTAATGGCTGAAATTTCTGATTTCTCCGGAAAACTTCGCAAACATGGACCCGCACGAGGTTGTAGTTGCTAACTTGGGACTTCCAGCCTTGCCCGGAGGAATGCCCACAATCCATTCCCTGCAAAGCCTTACAAAGACAGGGCTGAGCCCCGCAAATGCCAGCTGGTGAAACCTGAGCTCTTGTGTTACAGGAGGCACAGTTGTGAGCTGCCACTCCTGAGGTGGGAGCGCGGCTTGCCCCGGGCAGGCACCACACGTCTGTTCCTGTCAGCTGGGAGCTAAAGCAGCCTGTCCCTGGAAGATCTGGGAGTTAGAAGACCACGTGTGCTATTGACCCTAAGTGCTATTATACCTTTTCATGCACATCCACCACTGTCCCCTCTGCCATCACCCGGTGTCCCGTGGCCATCCCATATCTGTGCCAGACCAGCTCTGGGGTGACCTGTGGGGTGGGCAGGGACAGGGCTGCCTGTCCCAGCCCCTCTCTTGCTCTGCTGCCACATGTCCTTTAAGTGTCACCGCTGACAGCTTAATTCTCTGTGACAGGCAACGTGGCAGAAGGGCCAAGGGGGTTTGTCAGCACTGAATTCAGATCCAGAGCTCCTCTTTCTTTGGGGTAAATTTTCCTTAGAGAAATGAGGCAGGAAAGCCCTGGGAGAGCCACTGAAGCAGATTCTGCACTGGAAACATCACACAGATGAGCTCATCCCTTTACTTCTCGTCTCTCTCATGCTCTGAGCAGAGGGAAAACAAGGAACATGTGGTATTTTTGCTCCTGTTCCTATTGCTCTCACCTGGATGTCACCCTGACTCTCTCTGTGGGCACAGAGCACTGGGCAGGGGCAGCCGGTGGCAACAGCCCTGGGTGCAGCTCCTGGACAGGATGGTGAACACAGGGGCTGGGTAGTGCTCAAGGAAAAGAAGGTTCTCACCTCATTCCACTCTGCTCCGTGCCCGGGAGTGGAGGAAATGCACAAAAAGCAGGAACAGAAGCCCTGCCTGTCATTTTGCCCAAGGCCCTCTCCGAAAGGTGCAATCCATCAGGATTCATTTGCCTAAGCTCAGGGGCTGCAAAACAAGGTGTCTAGCAGAAACTCCTCACCCCGCCCTCACTTCCAAGCTGTGCCAGCTGGAAAGGTTCTGGGAATGTGGCCGACGTGACAACTTTGCCGCGAGGGGATTGCGGAGCACACGGGTGTCCGTGGTTCGTGTGGCAGCTGCCTCTGCTACAGCCTGTGGGCACAGGCAGGCTCCTGTGGCATTCCTGCTGCCCCAGCAGTGATTTATGGGCTGAGCAGCTCGGGAAGGCTGACCTTGGGAGGGAAAGCTCACGCTCTGCTCCCTGACTCCTTTCCCCCCCATTGCTGGGGTTTGACATTTCAGCTGACGCAGGCGCTGCACGGCTGCTGCTCCTCAGCTCTCCAGCACATCCCAGCAAGATTCCTGCCACCAGCACATCCCAGCAAGCCTCTTGCCACCGAGGCAGACTGCACAGGGCTTACCCTGGTGCCTGGTGCTCCATCCTCCCTTAAAAAACAGCTCCCCGTCCATGGGGATGCTGAAACACCCTCTGGGTAGAGTCCCACCTCAGGAAGCACAGCAGCATCCCACAAAGAACACACCCATGGGCTGCAGAGAGCCCCTCCAGCCTTCCCTGGGCATGGTGTGAACCTGCCCCTCCAGCAGCTCCCCCCTTGCTGGTTTTCACCTTGCCCAGGGCCTTTTCCCACCAGGGGTGAGCCAGAGCCTGTGGATTTGGGTGAGCCCCATCCCGGCAGGCTCAGCCCCTGCCTTCCCCTTCCCTGTCCCACACACACACACTTGGCAGCAGCAGCTCCTGTGGTTTGTATGAAGCTCAAGAACAAAAGGGCCGGCCCATTCCCTCACACACAAATTGTAGGGCTCAGCATCTGCTCGCAGGGAAGGGAAGTTAATTTGCAGAAGCCCTGGGAGAAGGCTCCTGTGCCCTGACATGCCTGTGGAAAATCAGGTTCCCAGTGCAGTGTCACAGGCTGGTGAATCACCTCCTGCCTGCACCCTGCTGCGCAGAGCCCCGGGACCAGAGCTCCTGCACCGTGGGAAGAGGGAACATTGCATGGACAGGGGCAGACAAAGCTGGTTTAAGGTTTCAAAAGAGATGAGCTAATCAGAGAGCCCAGCCCAGGGCCCCCTTACGTGGTGCCCCGTTCCCAGGAGCTGCAAACAGCGTGTTCCCGAAAACAAGCTCTGTCTGAGGTGTGTCACACAAGCCACCAGCTGCTGGAAAACAGCCTCCACTGCTGCACTGGGGATGAGGAGAGCTGTGACTGGTCATGTCTCTCCTATTGAGGCACAGGCATCTCCTCTCCAGAGATGCCTACGCAGGTCTTCCCATGGGTAACCCTTGAATTAAAAGCATCCCGCGTGATGTGGAACCACAAGGTTGGACCCCAGTGAGTTCACGCTGGATTTCACAAGCCCTCAGTCTCTGCAGGGTTCCCCTGTCACTGCCTGCTCTCTCAGTGACTAAGAGGGATGCTGTTCCCTGGAGGAGCAGCCCAGCTCTGCCCCGCCGTGTGCCGGTGCTGCCGCACGCGGGGTCACACACAGTTCACTGCTCTTTTTTGGCACATTTGTTCCAGCAGGGGAAGAAACAGGACCAGAAAGCACAGGGCTGTTAATAAGCCATCACAATGATGCCCAAGAGCACGGAATCACAGGATTGTTAAGGTTAGGGAAGCCTGCCAGGATCATCAAGTCCGGCACTGCCGTGTTCGCCACTCAGCTGTGTCACCAAGTGCCACGGTGGGTGTTGGCAGCCACTCAGACTGCACAGTGCCACTGCCTGTCTGTGCTGAGGCTCCCAGCACTGCTCCCACAAGGCACACTAGACTAGGGAAGCTGATCTTGCATCCCCTGGGACACTCAGACCTCCACATCCTCATTGTTCCTTCTGCTGCCATGCCCAGACATTGCTCCTCAGAGGGAAAGAGCAGCAAACACTGCTCCAGCAGCACTGAACTCTCCTCCCTGCCTGTGCCCTTCCCCACGAGCATCAGATGTGCTGCCTGGATGCTCCCTGCTTCCAAGTGGTCCCGTGGCACAGAGCCTGGGAAGCAAAGCCCCCTCAGGGGCTCTCTGGGGCTGTTCCATCAGGAGAGCCAGGTTCCCTGCCAGCACCACCACACTGAAACATGCCAGCCTCCCTCCTCCCAGAGATTCCTTGGCAGCCAGCTCCTTTCCCCCTGGGCTTCTGTAGGAGGGCAAGGTGTTTCTCATGGGAAGATAACTTGCAACATCCCTCTGCCTGCTCACCTGCCAGCTGGCACGGGAGCAGCGTGGAGGGAAAGCCCTTGCCAACACGAGGGAGCACAAGGGAACACAGGTGGAGGGGAGCAACAAGCCAAAAGAAGAGCTGAAATAGCTGCTGTGGATGGGTTGAGAGAGCAGGGAGATGCTCCAGCACGAACTTACCTTAAAACAGAAGCCATTCTGCTCTTCAGAAACTATCACCAGTGTGGAGGCATAAAGCACCAACAGCCGGTCATTCTGCTCCTTGGAAAGCAAGGAGGGAGAGGGATGTGAACAGCCAGGCAGGGATTGGATGTGGAGAGCCCTTTGCTCTGTCTCTCTGACAGCAGCCTGGGGCAAGGGCTCTGGAAAGGGCCAAGCTGCTCCCCTGCATCAGGAGATTGCTTTGGAAAGGGCCAAGCTGCTCCCCTGCGCTGGGAGATTCCTGCCAGATTCCTGGGGCTTGCAGCTCTGTAATTCAGGAATGACTAAGCCCAAAGAAGCCTCTATCCAAGCTGCAGGCAGGTTGTCATCCCAGGAAATCTTTTACAGAGCAAGACCACTCAGAAGAAATTTAAAAAGCCTGTGGAGGCTGGTGAGGGAAGAGTTGGTGAAGTGACACTGGGTCAGCTGCCAGCCCTGTCCTGCAGGTCCTTGTGCACATGCCTGTGTGCTGTCCCCAAGCACCCCTGCGGGGCCACAGGAGCAGGAAGAAACCATTTTCCCTTCACATGGGTGTAAAATGACCCTTGGGACCTGCTGGATTGGTGGCATCAGGCGGGCAGGAGCCTGCACTGGTCACTCCACCCATCCCCTTTTCCCGAGCTGGGCTGGCAGGAGGTTGCTCCCCAGGGATGTGTCCTACCTGGAATGGCAGATGCTGAAGCTTCACTTCAGAGGTACAGAGGACACGGCCCAGGGATTCCCTCTGAGTCCCACTCCAGCCCTGGATAGGCATGTGCTGCATGCACCACCGCAGCTCCTCCTTCCCCACGGAGCTCTGCTTCCAGCCGTTCTAGGGACAGGAGCAAACTGAGCAGCAGGCAGACATGTCCTCCCCTGAGTTTATCCAGTGCATGGCCCTTCTCAGGGCACTTTTTAAGTGTGGTAGAGGCAGGAAAGAATAAATAAATCAGTGCAGGAGCCAGTTTTCCAGCTGGGACTGAATAATCGCTCCTGGTACCGAGCATCACCTGTAAATTGCCTTTCAAAGGGAGGTATCTCTCTTTGACAAGTGGGGAGATGGAGACAGGGAGGGAATTAAAACACCCTGCAGAGATGGGAAGAGAAAGTCTCTTGAATCTAGTCCTGTTTTCTAGGTTCCAGCCTCCTCCTCCAGATGTTTTGTAATCTCTGGGGAATTGCACAAGCATCCAAATGCATCAGAGTTTCTCTGAGCCAGACCCAAAGCTCTGACCCTTTGGAGGTTGTGGTGGTGGCACCCACAGGTGGCAGGTCTTCCTTTCAGCACCCCCCCACCCCACCAAAGTCTATCAAACACCTCTTGCAAACCTTTCTCTTTTTTTGCACCCTTCTGTCACAGAAGGCCACACCAAAGGCAAGCTCTGAAATGAAACCATCCCAGCTTCCCTGGTTGCTCAGCACAGGACTGTGGCTGTGAGACACTCACCTGAGGGAGGAAGGGCAAGGCAAGGCTTCCTCCATTCAGCTGGATCTGCTTCTCCAGGTGATAAAGCCACTGCTTCAGCTCTGACTCAGAGGGGCAGAACACAACAAGGGGGTTGAGCCGAGGACCTGTGAGACACAGGATGAGCAGAGCAGATAAGGGCATGGGTTGCAGCATCCACGTTGCACTCTGCACATCACACCATCAGACCATCGCCCTGTTCCAGTCCTTCCCACCACTCTTTCAGCACATTCTCTCACATCAGGCTGCTGGGAGTGCTCCAGCACCTTCTCACACACATCAGGCTCTGACCACCAGGCACTTCCCAACCCCAAACCAGGCCAAGAACAAAACTCAAAGGCAGCACGAAAGCTTGAACTCAGCACACGTTTCAGCTTTGAAAACCCCCAGGAGTTTGTGAAAAGCACCTGTGTGGGCAGGGACTGTCACAACCCATCAGAAAGTTCCGTGCTATCTCCTGCTTTCACTTTGGCACTCAATATGTAGAACACTGGTAGCTTTCTGACACAGTTTATTTATTGCTCCACCAAACATAATCTGTGCCAGACAATCTGCAGCTGACCTCAGACTTCTCTTGAAGGGAGGAACAGCCCTGCATCTTGTTGATTTTGACGTTTCCAGCCTCCTTCAATTAATAGCACGAGCAAAACAGTCTCACACACCCCTCTACTACTCACTGCAGACATGACCCAGTGATGGTAATAACCATTTCTGGCAGGATGCAGAATGTATGTTATGATTAATAATTTACCAGCAATCTCATATTAAACCCTGCTTGGTGCAAGCTCAGTAGGATCTGGCTCTGTGGGACTTGGAAGTATTGAGATAAGCCCGTGCACGGGATAAACATGGTACTTTGCCCTTCTTTAGTACCCTAATTCCTGCACTATTTATAAACAATGGTTAATTAAGACTTTGAAACGCTTCTGCCTTTCAGGAAATGCTCTGAAACGAATGTGCATAAACAAAGCAGAGGTGTGGAAGCTGGGGCAGAGACTCCCTGAGTGACTCCAAATCCATTGCAGTAATTTAGTGCCAAGCATTTTCTGGGTATCCAAGTGTCTATGGACTGCCGAGGCTCTGGAGTTCTCCTGCCTCCTCTTCCCTTGGTTCCCCTGTCTTTGCAAGGAAGATACAGTGATTCCCTGCTTTATGGAGTAGCCAGGAGGGTATGATGGTGTTAGTGCTCTCTAGGTATTCTGGCAGCTCTGGATACTTCCCATGGCATCCAGGCTGGTAGGAGTTGTGCTGGTAGGGAAGAGAAAATGAGGAAAGGCCCTGCTGGCCAAGCCTGAAGCCTGGGACACGCCTGAAGCTGGAGCAGGAGCTGTGGGAGGCTTTGAGCAGAGTCTGAGAGGCTGCTGCTAATTCAGCTCCTGCCCTTGCCCTCAGCCCCAGGGCAGGGCCACGACCCAGCCACGCTGAGCAACCCCTGCCAGCCCTCGTGCTCTTTTCTTCTGCCTTCTTCTTCCTCCTTCCTTGTGAATGCTTCCAGAGGAGCTCTGGAAGCAAGAAACCCCCTTCCCAGAGCAGGAGCAGTTTATTCCCACTCAAATCTCCCAGACTGGAGACACTAAAAGGCTGCAGGGGAGGCAGAGGTAACTCGAGGTGCTCAGTAACTCCACCAGCACCACAGGCTGGGCAAGGGATGGACCATAAAGCCCAGGTGACAGCCAGACACTGTCCACCAAGGACACCCTGGATGCTGCCAGGCTTCCTTTTCCACTCCACCTCCACGCTTCCAGTGATCCTGCAACAACTTCCAGTAAGCTGAACTACCCCTGGCAGTGCAGTTATGGGGAACTACGGATGCCACAGGATTTCACAAGAGAATGGATGTGTGTCTGTTGTGTCTCAGAGTCATGAGACGAAGAGATTTCCACCCTGACCCTGTGTGGGGACATGGGAAGGCTCCTACCCCCTCCATGCCTTGATTCCTCCCCTTCCAGCAGGACAATAAAACCGTTCCACTGATCTCCCAGCAGTCCTAAACATCGCTGCCTCCCTGGTTTCTTCCTGTCACTGCTTCCCAACGTGCACAGCACTCTGAAAGGCTTTGGCTTGTTCTTCCCCCAAGCAGGACAGGAACCCAACAAAGCTTGAGGCAATTTTCCACCCAGCCAAACTCCTGCCTGTTTTCATACAAGCAGAACGAGTCCCCCCACCCCAGAGCAGATGCCCCTGGGAGATATTTTCCTTCATTTTACAGGTTTCCAAAAAGGGTTGGAGAGCCTTGCCTGGTACAGTGCAGCACAGCCACAGCTCAGCAGCCCTTAAAATTGGAGGGTCGTTTGTACCACCTCCTTTTTATCATTTATGCCTGTAATTCAGCAATGACTAAGCCCAAAGAAGCCTCTATCCAAGCTGCAGACAGGCTGGCATCCCAGGAGATCTTTTATAAAGCAAGAGCACTCAGAGAAAAGTTTAAAGAGCTTGTGGAGGCTGGTGAGGGAAGAGTTGGTGAGGTGACACTGGGTCCTGGCAGCACCAAACTGGTGTTACTGTGGAGGCAACTCACTCACCTCTGGGCACTGAACTGTGCCCTTCAGTGCCCTGACTGCTTGGAGTCACTCCCTGCCCTTGGGGTTTATATGGAGAGAAGGAGTTTTATTCCATTTTTTTCATTCAAATAACTGGACAGAGGTGGGAACTGTCACCATGAGTCCTCCAGCTGGAACACAGGACCATCCATCCCCTCCCCTCCCTGTGCCAGCCCTGGGCATCACTGCCCAGGTGTTTAAGAGCAGGGAAGCCTTGGAGAGAAAGATGTAAATTCTGGGAGGAAGGAAGAGCTTCATCTCCCTGCAGCCTCTTTCCTGGGATGGGGTCAGGGTGGGACAGAGAGCAGAGACAGCCTGATTCACACACCCTCTGCCCTCTGTGCAAAGCAAACAAGGAGGCACCCACCTGCAATGAGGAAAGCGTGGCAATCCTGCTGCCCAGGGCCCTTCCCAGCCTCAATCTCACAGACATTCAGCTCCTTCAGAGGCAGCAGTTCCTGCAGAGGGAAGCCACACTGTTATTTTGGGGGCAGCTCTGCCATCGGTGCCCCTTTGCCGTGGGAGGTTGGGAGCCCAGGCTCCCAGGTTGCTGTGGCTCAGTGTTAGACTGAAAAACATGGCTCTGAGGGGAGACATTTGGGGTCTGGATCCAGCACACTCCCCAGAGGAAGCAGGTTCAGCAGCTCCTGGGGCCAGTGCTGCAGCAATCCTCTGCAGGAACTCTTCCTTTATATTCTTTATATTCTAAATCTTTCAGTTTTAAGAGAAACCTCAGCAAGACAACGGTGGTTTAACACAAGAAACACAGAAGATGGAGCTGACCATAAAGCAAAACTGAGCTGTCTGGTTCCTAGGCTCTGGATCTTCAGATTCCCACTATAACAGAGCACAGGAACAGGTGGCAAGTTTGTACTCCCCGTTTTGGGCTTTCTAAACAAGCCCCATAAAAGATGCTAATGGCTGCTAATGTCTTGGGGCCAGTACTGGAACATTAATTCCCTTTTAATTCCCCTGAATTAATAAACTAAGGAGCTGTTTATAAAGCAGTCAGGAGATTTTGTAATATGGTTTGCCTCCTGACATGCGAATTTTCAGTTGAAGGCTGTTTGGTGGGTGACTCGAGAGATTGCACTGATGTATTGCATCAACATAAAGTCACCTGCAAGACAGTGAATCATTTCTAAAAGGAACTAATTTTTATAACCATCTCCGAAACAGCCGTGCTCAGTTTTAATTGCTCACTCCTGTGGAGGGACAGCACATCCAGGGCTTCTTGTTTCACAGTTGTGACTTCCTTATTATTTGTAATTCACCAGCATCATCAGGTTAAAAGATTGATGAGCAGTTTGCCAGGAGGGCTCCCCAGAGCTGCCCTCAGTTTTTTATTTCCACCTTCTCCCACGGATTAATTAATGTTGGAGAAGTCCTCTAAGATTATCAGCTCCAACCTGCAGATGAAAAAACTCCCCCTTGGTCCAGAGGGCAGGGCCAAGACCACCACAGGCACCAAGGCCAGTGGGATTTTGGGTTGTAGGAGCCCCTGTAGGTCCCTGCCAAGGCTCAGCTCCCTGTGCTTGGTGCTGAACACCTCCCACCCCTGGCCCTGCCTGCCAGCCCTGCACAAGCCCCTCTCCCACCTCTGTGGGGTCCTTTATCTCTGCCCACAGGCAAGGCCAAGGACTCAGGTGAAACTGAGGTCATCTGAGTGCAGGCCCTGGGGAAAAAAATGCCCTCCTTTCCCAGGATCTTGGCATGCACGGGAAGGGACTTGGTGACATCTCTTAGAGGAGGCCAGGGGAGCCCCAGAAGCAGAGCCCCCTGTCCCAGCCCATCTGCCCAGAGCCACCCAAGTGCCCAGTGCTTGCCCTGGCACGACCAGGCGATGCCCTACCTGGTGGGTGAGTCCATTGGAGCCCACGGACTGGAAGTACAGGTAGGACTGGAACAGCTCCAAGAAGCAGTCATTGACCTCCTGCAGGAGAGACACATCCTGGGGGTTACCTCAGGACACCTTCCCTCTCCCGACTTCCCTCTCATCCCAGGCTGATCCGTGCACAGGGAAGCTCATCCCAGGGCCACCATCATGTTCCCACCATGGATCTGCTGCCAGCCCAGCAGTGGAGCCTGGAAGCACATCCCAGCTGCCCACAGGGATGGGAGCAGGTGCACGAGCTGATACCTGTGCACCACATGACAACACATCCCAAGGGAGCCTCCCTGAGTCACAGTTCCCAGAATTACACTTCCCTTCCCAGTTCTGCAGGGTCATACCCGGGGAGAGAAAACGCCCACAAACAGGTGCCTCAGTTTTTACCTGGCAGTGCTGGAACTTTAACTTGACCTTGGAGTAATAGATGATTTTTCCCAGGTTCCTGACAGTCGTTTTCCTTCGTCCCTTCTTGAACAGGCTGGGGAACCTCTGGTCCAAGTTTTCTTTCTGGTTTTCCGGGTTCGGGATAATCTGTACCAAGGACACAGGGAAAACAAATCAGAGGAATGGGGAGGTGATGTCTGGAAGAGACATTCCCAGAACATCTTCCCAAAAGGGATTCCTTGGAAAGGTGCCCTGGGCAGGTGCCCAGGATGGGCTGTTTGTTGTTGGGTCTCCATGCCAGCATGGAGCTGGGGTTCAGTTACTGCTGGGAGGAGATGCTGACCTAAAGGTGAGGTTTCTGCATTGGGAAGAGGCACATCCTACTTTTAGGGTATCCCAACTCCACAGACAAACCTCTTATCATCCTAATCAAATCCACTGGAACAAGGACCCATTGAGGCTAAGCAAACAGTGTGTGCCTTCCACGGGGGGTAGTGGGAAGGTTTTCTTTGCTCTAGTTCCACCTGGATTCCTTGGCTCTCCCATCTGCTCAGATCCCTGGATTTCTCTAGGTGGAGTCAGTTGTTTTGGGGTGCCAGACAATTTTGGGGCAGAGCCCCACAGCCATAAAAGCAGCTGCAAGGCACTGAGTGGTGAAGCTGCTCAGTGCCAGTGCAAAAAGCTTGGAAAAGCTACAGGAAGCCAGAAAGCAGTGCAGGAGAGCCAGGACTGAGGAGAGGAGACAGCACTCAGGGCTGGAGGCTTCCCTGATTCCCTGGTTATAGGGGAATTCTTCCTTCTGTGCAGTAGCACAACCCCACACCCCTATGGCAGGGCACTGCTGTCACACTGTCTGGATAAATGCATGAATCCCAGGGGGGAAAAGCTGTTCCTGCAGCTTTTCTGGGAATAACACTTTTATTTCTGGGGGTTGGTTGATTTCCTTGGGGAGAAGGGAAGGGCTGTATCCCAGCCACGGATTCCCACAGAGGCTGGGATACACACTAGCCTGGGAGTCTTAAATATCAGCTTGGTCAGACGCTCCACAGACTCCAGGTATGCATCCTCCAGCAAAAGGGAAAGGCAGGTGGGAGAGGGAAGGTTTGGAGCGGGTTTATGTGGCTGCCCTGGGCTCGAACTGAGCATTTCCAGGGATGAGCAGGGCGAGGGCTCAGCGGGATCACTCAGCCCATCACCCCGGGGCTGCCGGCACGTCCCCGCCTCCGGCGTGTGCCCGCTCCCGGCTCCCTGTGCCAAGGAGACAGCTGCGTGTGCCCGTGATGGATGAGGAAGCAGCACAGCTCACCAGATCTGTCTGGCTGGGGACTCTGTGACTCACCCCTCTGGCACGAGGTTAACCCCCCTCTCCCAGCCTTCTCCAGGGATAGCGCTGCTCCGGGGGGCTGGTGAACCAGGAACAGGAGCCTGAAGCTCTCGGGGGCCCTTTCACCTGCAAAGCTTGGGCCTCACTGAATTTAGGTTACTCTTTTTAGGGCACGAGTTAACCCTTTCTCTGCTCAGAGCCTCCCTCCAGCTCTCCCAGGCATGGAACAGAACCCAGGGAACCCGCTGGCTGCCCGTTAAAAGTCTCACTGAGGCAGCTCAGAGTAGGAAAAGGTCATATTTGTGCCACAAGCCACTGTCAGAGCAAAGAGCAGCTGGGGCAGTAATAACAAAACACTGCTGGGATAAGGGCAGCCACCAGAAACAGGGAGTGGGGAGAGGATGAAGTAAGGAAATTATGGAAACAGAGATAAGGAACGACACCGGCTACCAGCTGCCTGGGCAATACTGCTGCCTGGAACGTGCCAGCCAAACTTCCTGGGAATAAATAAGGCACCAAGGAGCAAAAGCAACCTGGGAGCTGGGAATCCAGCAGCACTGTTGGCAAAGAGCTCGGCCAACCTGCCAGCTTCCACAGGGATCCTCCCGCAGTCGGGAGGGAGAGGGAGAGTTTCCATGGCCGCTGTTCATGTGGCAAGAAACAAGATCAGTGGAATATTCCCTCTCCCAAACAAGGATCCAGCGACCCCAGCTTGCAAGGGTTTGCAGTGAGACTTAGGAGACAGGTGGATTTAGTGGTTAAACATGGGAGCAAGTCCAAGACCATGGACATCCCTGAAATTTGCTGCTGCCCTTCCAGCTGCAGGCACCACCCAAAACCATGGGGATGCCTCAGTGTGCAGCCAAAACAAAAGGGATTTATTCTTCCTCTGGAATGCTCTCCAGTCAGCTGCTCGCTCCCCTGGCTGGGCTGTGCTGGGGACCAGCACCCTCCTCCCCCAGCCCCATCCTGACCAGCCCCATTCCCGTTAGCTCAGCGGTCCCACTGGGTTCCAGGCAGTGCAGATCCTTGGAAACTTGGTTTCTCCCAGGGCTTGGTCTCTGGCAGTGCAAGTGCCCTGACATGTTCTTTCCCCCCCCCAGTCTCAGATGCCTCATCCTACAGGTAGAACAAGTTACTAATTAACCTGCAGACCCCAGTGACTCCCAACTGAATCACCAGCCCAGGCAGCAGGAAGAGCTCAGCCTTGCAAGGCTGGTGCCCCGGGGCTCTGAAAGCTGCTGTTTAATGATAAAAGAAGCAAATGAGAAGCACAGCTCTTCTGGCACATCCTCCCCCCTCGCTTTGCCGAGGCTCCACAAGAGCCATGACTGGGAAGTGTGGGAAACAGGGCAGAGGGTGGTGGGAGCAAAAGGCACTGGCTGTGTGTGCCAGGTCCAGAAGGGGCTGGTTTTCAGGGATGTCACCTGCCCCAGTCCCAAGCTGCCTGGCATGGCCAGAGGTTTGGTGATCCCATCTCCTCTGAGATTGCATCAGAGCCCTGTGCTGATGGCTGCTCTCTGACCTGGCCCCACAGTGCCTGGTTCTCCTCAAAATACGGGAGTGGGAAAGGGTCTAAGCTAAGGCTTTCTCTCCAGGCCACACAAGAAGCTTGTGGCTGAGCAGGGAGTTTGCATCCCAGCTGCCCCAGGCGAGGGTAACTGCTAAACAACTGCTCCACCCACCCTCCTTCCTTCCCTGGAGAGATCCCACACTTGTGTTCCCGAATGAATAAGTTCTCGGTGACCTTTGTTGTGTCCTCTTGCAGGATTCCTTTTCCGGGACCTGCTAACATGACAGCTCATCCTGCTGAGCATCCAGGATCCATCTGGGCCCTGGGCTCTGCTGCCTGACCCTTCTGGATGCTGACTCCCACAGGGAGCTGTGCCATCTCTGAAATTCCCTCTGCCTGGCATTGAGTCTCTGCCTCAGTTTCCCCTTCCCCACATCCACGCAGCCTATTTGCCATGCAGTGGGAGAGGTGCCTGCCCAGCACAGCCCAAAGGGTCCCCAAACTCCGTCCACATCCCTGTCCCCCACAAAGGGACCGAGAAAACACACCAGGGTTCATCCCTTCACCTCTGCTTTCCCTGAGCAGCGCTGGGAAATGGGCCATATGGCCACAAGGCTGGTGCATGCCTGGGGCAGACCTGCCCTTCCTGATTGCCTTCCCAGGGCTCCTTGCTAACAGGCTGCCTGCTCCGTCTCATTCCGGCGTGGGAATGAATCATCTCACCTTTGAGTGCTCGCTCCGATTTTCCCTTCCCTCTCAGGCAACCCAGAAAGAGCAGAAGTGGGGGGTGAGATATCCCTGCTTGGCTCCCAGCACGACCCTCCCACCCCATCACACCTTTTTGCTGGTGGCAGGTCCCCCCCAAACCTTCCTGGGGACCCCAGGGCAGGTAATTCTGCTGCTGTGTGAGCACAGGGCTCATCCTTCCCTGGGCTCCATCCCTTTGAGACAGACCTGCTGCTGCCCCTGGATCCAGATCCATCGTCCTTCTTAAGTGCTGTCTTTGGGCTGGGTGGGAATAAACTCTTGGAGCAGCGGGGAGGGGGTTTGGATGTGTTTGTACTTGCCTTTGCTGGAATATACTGCAGGATTTTGTCCGTGGTCGTGTCTCTCTCCTGCCCTCCTTCTAGACCAAAAAAGCTGGGCAGTTTTTTCTTGCTGTTTTGTCTATAAAAGGGAGGGGGGGAAAAAAAAACACAAATCAAAACACACATCCAGGAAACACAGATCCAGGCTGATGCACAGAGAATTCTGCCCAGAAATAAAGGAAGCCAGTAAACTGAGCAAGCAATTTGTCATGGGCTTTCTAATCATCCCAGCCCAGCGAAGGGGCTGATAAACAGCCTGGGAGAATTGAAATGGGGGTTGTGCTGCACTTGTTGCTGTTTCTTTGCTTTTCCACAGGTCTTTGCAGAACCAAATGATCGATTTGGCTCATCCGTGTCTCCGAATCAGCAGAGGGACCAGATGTTCCATTGCAAAACACAAAGACCAAATCCAGCCCTGACAGCTATTCCAGAACCCCCCCCTGGAGCAGAGATGCACAGATACACCAACAGACATTCACAAGGAGGTTTTGTTTCTGCCTCTGTGGTTTTCCTCTCTCTTTCCTTCCACTCCCAGCCAGGGCCCCGGTTCTCCTTTGCCTGCACATACCATTAACACGTTACTGGTGCTGCTGAGCAGCACTGGGATTGCTTTGCTGGGACTTCCCAGCCCTTGCTGGGAATCTCAGATTGCAGCATTTATTTGGGCAGAAACCAGGCTTATCTCCACGGAGAGCCCTGAGTGTGGGAAGCTGGGAGCCAGCAGGGACAGGGGGTGCTCTGGGGCTTGGCTGCTCCACCACAGGTGGGATGTCAGCCCTCCAGGGTCCAAATTCCCCCAAGTGACCCCCTCTTTTTTATCCCACAGGAGCTCCACAGGCTTCTACAGGTTTACTCCTAATTTATGGCAGCACAGGAGACCAAGGGGACAGTGTAGTGTCTCCTCTTGATTAGAAACCCCTCAGCCTGCAGAGTTTAGGGGGTCTGTCTCACAGCCCAGCACAGACACAGGGTAGACAGGGCTGGCAGGTTCACAGGGAATCGCTCTGGTTCCCAACAGAGCTCTTTTCCAGCCCAGAGTCCTCGGGATGGGGAGGGATCTGCTCTGTGCATGTGTAGGTACTGGCAGACCGTGCTGATGGGAGCACAGGCAGTGGAAAAGCAGGGAAGCTTGCTGTGCATTCCCTGGAAAGCTCTATTTTGGGACAGCCGCCCATCGCTGTGGTACCTGAGCACTGCCCTGGCCAGCCCAGCACCCAAATCCCCAAAAGGTTTCACAGACATTTTCTGTTATTCCCCCTTCAGATTTACAAACACAGGTCAAATCACGTGTCAGAGTGCTGGGATTTGGGGTTTTCTATCCGAGGGACAAGAGTGTGAAAGTTACTTTTCCCCAACAAGCACCACGACTCCAGGAGTCGTGAAGAGAGAAAACCACCAGTGAACACAAGGAGTATTGGGTGTTCTGCACCTTGCCCTGCCTGTCCCGCAGAGAGGAGTTCAACCATCAAACCAAAATTAAATAAACCCTGTTTCTCCTGGGGGGTGGTGGTGTTTCCCCTGGGGAGCTGGGATTCCCTGCCGGCAGAGGACCCCATCCCAGGCAGTCAGGGCGAGCTGATCCCGCCTGGGCGCTGCCCAGCACCCCACAAAACCACGGGACACCGAGCATGAAACACGAAATATGAAATAACTGCCGGGTTCCCCGAGCGGGGGCTCAGCCGCCAGCCCGGATCCGCACGGTGCATCCCACAGGAGAGCACCAGCCCCACTGGGAAACCACCCCGAAATGAAAAAGCAGGGTACTCACGCTTTCTTCAGCGAAGGCTTCCTTCGGAAGGAGCTCCTGAAGCCCCCAGGTGCCTGCGGGACACACGCGATGTTCCCCATGCCGGGAAGCGCCCGGAGCCGTGGGGAGCTGGAGGTCTGTGTGTGGGATCGTGTCACGCCGGCCGTTCCCTCCCTTCCCTTCCCTTCCCTTCCCTTCCGCCCGCTGTGACTCGAGTGGGTGTGGGCTGAGCCAGGCTCAGCTCCCGGCCGGGGCTCCCACTCCTGCTCCCGCCCCGCTGGCTGGGAGGGGCGAGCCAGGTACATGTTCCCTGTGACGAGGAATTAACCACGGAATTATCAACCCAGCGGTGCAGGGCACGAACGTTCCTTACTGTCCAACAGCACGGAGCTGGAGCCACTAATAAACCCATCCGGAGCGTTTTCCCCGGTGGAATTCGATCACCGTTCAGCCCGGGACGGGGGAAAATAAGATAATATTGGTGGTTATTGTTTAAGCAGTAACAAAAAATCTTTTAGGGTTGTTGCTCAAGGGTTCAAAAGGCTGCGCTCGGAATGGGCGTTCGTTGAAAAGAAACAGCTGGATTAAAGGTATAAAAGTAAATAAGCTGTGTGAAAATATAGGAAATAAGCAGGGGAAATCTAATTGGAATCTAAGGATTATGGAGAATTGATAGAGGAAGCAAAGAGCAAAAGGAGATGTGTGACCAGCAAAGCTAAAGGTGTATTTGTAGAAGAAATGCTTTAAAAGGAGGAAAACAAAAGATTTATGGTATGATTCCCTTACTGCGTGAAAATATAAATAACAAGTAGTTAATGACAAAAAAAAAAGGTAAATATTTCTGTGCAATGGATTGAAAAAAACCAGGCAGTTACAGCCATAGGGAATGACATTTCATTCTGTGGTCAGGTGGCTGTGAAAAAGTAAACACAAAACTCAGATGCTCTGGATCAGAAAATCCAGAGAATTCACGTTAAAGAGTTTCAAAGACCTGAACACAAAGGTTCTGGGTTGCAGGAAGTCTCGCAGGACCACAGAATTTGCAAAGAAATTGCATAAGTTAACAGGAATATCAGTGTTTCCATGGGTAAAACAACCACCCCAGTTAATTATGGGTTTGTCAGTTGACGCTGATTCCTGGGAAAATGATGTAACAGTTGTGAGGGAGTTGGATTAACTTTAAGGATTACAGGAGGAGAATATAATTAACACAAATCAACACGGGGTTGTGGAAATTAGATCTTGTCAAACTAATTTAATTGACAGCACGTTTGAAAAATAAATCAGATTTAGTTAATGTAAATAACAGTGACCCAAGCAATTACTATAAAGCACGTGATGTGACGTATCTACACCTTATTTTACGAAGGCTCTGAAGCACAACAAAGGCTGTAAATCCATAAATCTGTTACAGCCTGGCCAGCCAGGGAGAGACAACAGTGACTGTGAGCGGGGACTGTCCTCTGGGAAGAGGGCAGGGAGCAGGTTTTGCCTCCTCCCTGTTCCCAGGGACAGTCCAGCAGCTCCATCTTGCAGCAGAGAGGCTGCAGGGATGTGGTGATGCTGGAAGCACCTGAGTGGGGAACACACTTGTGACACACTTGTGACACTCTTGTGACAACCTGCTGGGGCAGAGAACCAGGAGGGATGCAGAGAAAGTGAAGGTGGGTGAGCTGAAGCTGGAAACAAGGCGTGTATTTTCACAGGAAAGGTTATTTCTCACCACAACAACTCCCAGGGTGTGTGGTGAGTCCCGGGTGATTTCTTCAACAGGGGATTTTTAAAACCAGGAGAGGGTGTTTTCTTAGAGAATCTGTTTGAATCAAACTGGGATTGGCTATTTCTGAGGTCTTACAGACATATTGGGTGTGTTAGGCTCTCTCTGTTTGCATCTTACCTTGCAGAAACAAAATCAACATATTCCCCAAAGAGGTGATTGCACAGAGAGAGCAGCTGATAACGGATATGCCATAAAATTTCTCCAAGGTTTCCCCATCTTTGACCTTTAAAAACAGCCTCCCTGTCCCCCTCCCCTTTCTGTCATATAATCCATTAACCCTTCATGGCCAAGCAAAGCAACAGGACACCCCTCCAGAGGGCCCCGATCAGAAATTCCCTAATTTTTATGGCAGGGTGCTTCTGTGAGCTCTGTTCTCTCTGCACAGCTGGGAAACGACTATCTGACAGCACAGCACCTCCTGGCAGAGATCAGAAATTACAGCAAACAGCACCAACTGTGTTTTACTCAGGAAAAGTGTGATTCCTCTTAAGGTCCGTGGCTAACACGGTCAGACTGTGACCAGAAACGTGCCGTTCCTCCAGCATGTTTGTTCTAAATAAAAACCTTACAGCTCAGAATAGTGACAGAACTACTGCAGGTCCTGCAAATACAGCTCACTTTGCTCGCTGGGACACCAGTGACACCACCACAGATGGCAGGGCCAGGTGTGACCAGTGGCTGAGGACAGTCCCCTCTCTCTGCGTGCTGGGTGCACCAGCTCGAGGGCTCACTGGCTCTGCTTCCAGGAGAACCTGAACTTGGAGGGAAGCAGCCTCCAGACTTCAGGAAGGCTTTCGGAGCACGGCAGTTATTTATAGAAGCCCCAAGCAGAAGCAGGAGCCTAGAGAGCAGCAGGAAAGAGGACACGGGCAGGGTTCCAGCCGAGCCAGGCATTCCGACCGCGCGGCAGACCGCGATGGGAAAGTTCCCTCCTGGGCCCCAGGGGATGCTGCCAGGCAGTTCTCATTGCTCTTTTCACCCCCTGAACTCCCCACACCGTGAAATGGGCTCGGCATTCCCCCCGGGAAGCAGGGACTGGCAGCATTTGGGAAGCAGAATGGGGCCGTCCAGCCCCTGGGCAAGCTGCGTGTGGCAGCTGGGGGTGCAGGAGGATGTCTCTCATCTGGTTTTCATTTCCACTGCAGGAAAAGCTGTCAACAGCACTGGGAGTCCTGGGGAGACCAAACTGGAATTTAATGGGCAGGGAGAGGTGTAAATCAGCCTGCCTCTGAAGCCTCTATGCCTTGAGTTGGGCTTTTCCCAGTGGTCTCCACAACCACCAGCATCTTGGCCCTGCTCTTTCTCTGGGATAGAGGGAATGTGTGCAGAGTGGTGGACACTCCCAGCACAACATCCTCTCTGGGAATACAAAGCCCCTTGTCCACAGGATAGCAGCCCCCCTGCCCAGGCATCCAGCACCATCAGCTGAGCCCAGGGCCAGGAGCTGGGGGAAGAGCTGCTCCTTTTAGCACAGAAGATCCTTCAAAACTGGTTTTGTTCCCTGTTGTCTCCTCTATTACATCCACATCAGCAGGGCCAGTCTGAAGTGGGCTCCAGAATGGGAGCCTGTCCCTGCTCTGTGCAAAATGCTGGACTGGTGACATCCAAACAGATGAGACCTCATAGAATCCTAGAACATCCTGAGCTGGAAGGGACCCACAAGGATAATTGACTCAACTCCTGGCCCTGCACAGACACCCCAACAATCCCACCCTGTCCCTCAGAGCATTGTCCAAACGCTCCTGGAGCTCTGGTACCCTTGGGGCTGTGCCCACTGCCCTGGGGGGCCTGTTCAGTGCCCAACCACCCTCTAGGGGAAGAACCTTTTCCTAATATCCAACCTAAACCTCCCTGACACATCTCATCAGTGGCTGCTCAGGCACAGATGCACATGAGCCTTCCATGAGCATCCTCTGCCTGGGGATCCTTCCCCTCCTCTGCCCAGGGCAATGCAGAGAGCAGCTCCTGCCTCCCCAGGAGTGAGCCAGAGAAGTGAGAAGGAAGGAAGGATGCAAGAGGCAGGATCCAGTATTCAAGAAAATGTCTTTATTGTACATGTTGGCTTCTATTGCTTGTATCCCCTCCCCAATCCCATGTAGTGCAAAAAATTCCGAGAAACAGAGTTCCACATAAATAAGTCGGATAACTTACAGAGAAATCAAAGTGACGACGGTTTGACATGGATTGGACCAGGTCTGCCCAGCAGCAGGACCAAGGGAACCTCTGCACCCTCGTCAGGGCAGGGGCTCCTGCCTGGCCTTGCTGCCTCCCTGCAGACCAACACCGGGGTCCCTGGGCAGAACACATCAACACACACAGCCTGGGCCCCCCCTCCTCGGGGACACCCCTCCGCTGGGAAAAGCTCACATGGGAAATCACACAAATAAACGTTTTGGGTGAGACACCACGAACTAAGACTGGCAGAGAAGCCACACGCAGAGTTGACGGTTCTCCTCCCCTCAGACAGGGTACTACGCACAGACAGACAGACACAGACACACGCCCCCTCCGAGGTCTCCTCCTCCTCCTCCTCCTCCTCCTCAGCAAGGGACGTGCAGCACCAGAAGCGATTCCACCCTGGCATCTCCCAGGGCAGATGCTGACACCTCGTGTCCACACAGTGTGGGTCGGGGTGCTCTGGACCCCCACAAGCTGCTGGGGAACTATTTTGCCCTTTCCTCCCTTCTCTCTCTTGCACAGGAAAGCAGTGAGCACCTGCATAGTTAGTGCAGCAGAGACACAAAAGGCTCCCTCCTCCCCAGGGTTCTGCTGAACAGGCTCAGTGGGATATTGCTCAGGACCCAACCAGGGGGGGACAGGAGTCACACTGCCCCTTTCCCTGATCCTCAGGAGGCAGGACAGCATCACACACCATTTTCAGTGTATGGAGGCCAAGGGCACATGGCAGAAGAATTCTCCTCAGCTGCTACATTTCTCGCTTCCCCTCTGGTTTTGCTCCCAAGGCAGCAGCCCCCCTTCATGCTACAGCAGCCACAGCTGGACCAGATGCTGAACCACTGCTATAACAACTCGTTCCTTGTTTGAAATCAGCCGTGTTTCCCCTCCAGCAGTTCCTCCCTGGCCCTGCAGTGCCCCTCTTTGCCGTGCCATGCTCCCTCCAGCAGCCTGGCTGGGCTTCGCTCTCCTTTTGCCATTCCTGACTCCTGCTGAGTTCTCAGCAGGATCTTGGAATGTCAGGCCAAGCCCAGCACCAGCACCTTCCACCTCTGACACGGCCATGGGGCCTTTGGGCTGATCCTCCTTCCAAGAGGACCCTGGAGCCAGGGTCACCTTGAGTCGATACGAGCCCAGCAGAAGAGTAAAATCCTGATGTTGGTTCTAGGAATGGGATGGAAAGGGTTGAACCTCGCTCAGGTGTGGGCACACGCACTAAACGGAGCAGACTTCACTGATTTCATTGGGTTTTTCGTACAAAGCAGATTCATCTGACCTTCTGAGGGCAGCCCACACGGACCAGGAGACAACCTGCACAGAGCCTGGACGTTCACAGACCCCTCTGCAGTACAGAGGAACAGGAGAGCTGCTGAGCTGGGATGGGCTGGGCAAGTGAGAGGGGGACAAAAAGCAAATTTAGAGTCTGTTCTAAAAGCCAAAAAGGCCTCCTCAGACTGAGAAGACCAGGCTGCCCCTGGGGGACTGGTTGGGGAGGGAAGCAGCTCAGGTTTTCAGAAGCTGCTGGTAATTTCAGGTGTCCAGCGTGAGGCACTGTGAGTGGGCTTGTAAAGTGTGTCAGTGGGCTTGCAAAACATGCAGGCACCAGTCCAGGAGAAATCAGACCGCAAAAAAAATTGTCTTAAGCTGGGGAGTCCCTGTTTCATTTCAAGCTCTCCTTTCACCCAACCTCCCCCTCAAAAAAAGGAGAAGAAATCTCATCACTTGAAAATTCAGGCCAACAAATCCCCACCACGAGTGTAATCTGAACTCTGTGAATGAGAAACGAGAAGGAGCAGGGGGAAAAAGGGATAAAGGAATTAGTTCCAAACAGTTAGATTGTATTCCAGTGCTACATTTGAACACTATTGAGGTACCAGTGGTTGAGTCATTCCTCTGTAATGCAGAGAACACCTGATCTGTGCCTCAGTTCACGGCTCACACGCACAGCACACGCACTGAAAACACCACCCCAGAGGCTCCGTGGCACGGGTGGGTCTAGGATAGGTCTGTGACTTACAGCACTAATTTATTCAACCTTCAGTTAATTAAAGGGGTTGCTTAATTGCCAGGGAGTCGCTAATTGCAAATGGTCCCTTCCGTGCTGCTTTCGCTGCACATTTGGTAGCTCACACATGCACACACCCCACACATCCATAGAGAACGTCTTCCAGGACACAGGCATCGTCTCCTCAACAAATGAGAAAAGTAATTGCATCCCTTCTGCTGCCTTAGAAGCAGATGGGATGGGGAATACCAGGGTAGCGTAGAAAACAAAGGGATATGAAGTCATTAAAAACTAAAATATTAGCATTCAAATAAAAAAAGGCAAAAAATTAATACCCAAAAGAAGTAATGCCAGGCAATCCTCCTCATTTAGAAGGCTGGACTGTTCTTTTTAAAGAACTGATAGCTCTCCACAAACCCAGAATCTGCTTTGCAGAGAGGGGAACAGCAAACAGGCCGATCCTTTCCCAGTCTGAGCCAGGACCACGTGCAGAGAGCAGGCAGCCACTCAGTCCTTTGAGCATGGGACAGCAATGGCATGGATGCCAACAAGGTCACCCAACCCATCTGCCTGGCTTGGGACTCCCCAGAGCAATGGCCAGCTGGGATCTCGGGGGATGAGGTGGGGGCCAGCAGAGCATGGAAACACTGGAGGGTTCAGGATGCTACGTCCAGTCCTGCCTCCGAACCTCACCTCCTCCAGGCCCTGTCCCTTAGCTGGGATTCTTCTGTTTGTGTATTTTAAGGCATCAATGAGACACCATTGAGAACCATACAGTGGCCTCAGAGTCTTTAACAGTGCACGATAGGCTTGGTAAAGAGTTTGGCTACAGTGACATTCAGAGGAGCGGTGGTTGCACATTCGCCGCGTCCTTGGCAGGAGCGCTGCCCACCTCAGCCACCCCACAGGGCTCCTGGAAGCCTCCAAGGCTGGCTGTGCTCGTGTGTGGCACCGGCTGGATCCCGTGAATCCAAGAAGCAGCAATGGTTTAGAGTTTCCCCTCCCCAAAGGAGATATGAGCCCTTGGGGCGGGCGGTGGGATGAGTCTGAGCGGAGCGGAGAGCACCCGCCTCGTCGCCCTCCGACCGAGGGTGCTCGTCCAGGAAGCACGTTTCTAACTGCTGGGGTCGCGCTGATCCGATGGGCGCCCCAAGAGCGGGGACAGCTCCGGGGTTCACAGGAGTGCTGGGGCTGCAGGCACCAACCAGGACCTCCGCTCCCCTCCTACAGCGACCGGCTGCCCCTCGGGGCCGGCCTAGAGCCCTGCCAGGCACCCCTGTCCCCTTGAGGTAAGGTACGTCCTGATTCTTTGTCAAAGGCTCGTCGAAGACACCGAGAGGGTGGGCGAGGAGGGGGGAGGGAAGTTGAGGAGTTCCAGCACGGCCACCCCCACGCTGCTCCGGCGGGTGAACATGCAGGACGCTGCCACCCACTTGTTGGTGCGGGGGTTGTACTTCTCGATGGAGTTGAGGCTGGAGCTCCCGTCGTTGCCACCCACGGCGTACAGCCACCCATCCATGGCCACCAGGTCATGGGTGCTCCTGCAACGACCACGCAGAGACCGCAGCGGGGTGAGGCTCTGGGGTGTAGGGGAGCTCAGCGCCTCGGGTAAACCGGCCCCACAAAAGGAGTGCCCAGCCTGACAGTCACCCAGAGAAAATGAACTACTGGAGTTCAAGCAGAGTGCAGCACAGACTCTCAGGTCCTCCCCTTCACTCTGACACTCTCATGCCACTGGAGAACCGCCACCTCTAAATAACAAACTCTAGGAGCCCAAAATCCTCGGACTTGCAAGCCTTAAATCCTCCCACAGCCCAGCAACATCTCCGTGGCCTCAGCCAGCGGAACCACCCGGTTCTTTACAGCCACACAAACTGCTGAGAATAAATCCCTCTGCAGAACACCCCTGCTCTGCCCTCCTGGCACACACTCCAGCCCCTCTCAGCGCAGCAGGAGCATCAGCCAAACCCCGGGAGGGGGGCACGGGCTGTGTTTTACAGTTTGCAGTGCCAAGCGAGGCACGGCGAGGTGGGATCCCCAATCCTGCTGCCACCAGAGCGGGGCACGGCTCCTTACCTGCGGATGTTCATGGGTGCCACGCTCTCCCACGTGTTGGTTTTGGGGTTGTAGCGCTCCACAGAGTTAAGGCAGCTGGTGCCATCGTTGCCCCCAGCCACATAGAGCATCCCCTCCAGCACGGCCACCCCCGCGCTGCTCCGGCGGCTCAGCATGTTGGCGATGGGTGTCCAGGTGTTGATCTGGGAACAGGCAATGGTTGTTCAACCAGACAGGTGTACAGGGCATTTTCCACCCATCCCTGGCCAAATCGGTCCTGTGGTATTAGTCCTGCTCTAACCACACAGCTCCTGGCATGACGGTCCTCCCCCCCCAAAAGGACTTCTGGGGGGAACCCACTTCTTTCCCTTCCACTCTGCCACAGTAAGAGCAGCACAGAAATCTCTGCTGAGTGGCTCAGGAAAGTGCTGTGGGAGCTGGCAGGAGTCCTGCCATCCCAGGGGCACAGAGATCCCTGTGCCAGGCCACCAGTCGTGTCACAGCTGGATCCAGCCTGGCCATGGGGGTTGAGCTGTATCTATTTCCAAGTATTGTATTTTGCAAGTACGACTGCACAGCTCACGAAAAACCTCCAGGACCTTCTCTCTTATTTTTTGCAGCAATCTCCCCTGCTCAAGCAGAGCTGTGAATCCTCAGGCCCAACACATGTCCCCAGCCTGCCACACTCCCTGTTCACCACACTGGATGTGCACAGTGCAGGACCTCAGCTGGAAGCTGGAAACAGCTCAGGGCATGTACCAGGACTGTTCTTCCTACAGAACTCGAGCTGGCCTACAGGCAGCAGGGTAGAGAGTGTTCTGGTGGCTGAAATCTCGCAGTGGTATCTCAGAGCCTGCATGGATCAGCTGTGGCTCATTTTGCTCAGGATCACACCCCGGGTTCTCTGTCCCTGTGGAAGGGGCTGATACCCACTCCTTGTTACAGTCATGCACAGTGGCTTAAGTCCTTTCAGGCACCACAGAGGAGGGGAGAAGGAAAAAGTTTATAAAAATCTCTCTTGTATTTACCTGGGGCTCATATTTCTCTACCGTGGCTAAGTGGGATGAGCTGTCGTATCCCCCAACAGCATAGAGGTTGCCTTCTGCAAAGACAGTCACACAGGCACTGGAATTAGCTAAAGACATGGTCCCTGTCCCAACATAGGTCCCACAACACTACAGGTGCCACCCTATGGGTGCCCACACAGGTATGAGCTGAGCCTCCCGTGCCCCAGGCAGCCAAGCTCCTCTCAGCAGGGCTCCCCCAGCTCCCCTCCCCTTCCAGCATGGAGTGTTGTGAAATATTCATCAGGCAGTTTCTCTGCCACGCTCCAAGCTTCCCAGAGAACTCCTTTGCCTGCTGCTTCTTGACCTCCTCATTACAGGAGCTGCAAGTGCTCCCTGCTGGAGCGACGGGCTATTTTTAGTGGTGGAGGATGGAGCAGGGGAATGCCAGTATCGGCTGTGGCAGGCACAGTGTGAGCTGGTGATGGAGGGGAGGGAAGCTCTGAGTCAGCACTGAGAGCTGAAACCAGAGAACAGGGCAGGGGAGAGGCACGGGCACACTGGGACACCGTGTGGCAGTTCTTGGGAAGGTGGGAAGCATCCCCAGGGAGGCCCAGCACCTGCTTGGCTGAGAGTGGGACTTGTATCATCAGCAAAAGGACTGTCCTGCTTTCATACTGAAGGACTAACAAGGTTGTGCCTTCCTTTTCTAGGGACAGGGGATCATTCACAGCCAGCCCCTTGCTCCAGAGTAGAAGGGGCACAAAGGAACAAGTTGTGGGTCCCCTCAGGAGTTGCCTAGAGTGTGATGAAACCCAGTTACTCAGGAGACTGAGGAGGAGGGCAGAGGCAGGCAGCATGTCAGGACATGGCAGAGGGATGGCTGGGCCATCCGGACTCATAGCAAAGGGAATCTGGGGAGAGGGGGCAGGAACTAGGACAGAACATCAAAAGGAACCACCAGGAATGCAAGAGAGCCTGCACAGAAGCCCGTGAGGTCCTCGTGCCATCACCCACCTAGAGTTGCCACCCGGACGTAGCGTCTCCTGGTGCTCATGGCAGCGATGGATGTCCAGGTGCCTGTCAGAGGGTCGTACCTCTCTGCGCTGCAGCAGGCAGGGACACAGGAACATAAGGTGTGACACTGGAAAAGCCCAGGTCAAAGCTCTTTGACACAGGCCCTCAGGGGCAGCTCCCAAGGAAGCTTGGGAATAGACAGGGAAAATAGGAGGGAAGAACTGACAAAGGCTGCGTCCTGTTGTGGCAGAGGGCTACAAAATGGTTTTTCCCCATTGGATTGCGACACATCTACCCTGGGGTCAGTCCATGGGTCAGGAGCAGGGCTCCCAGGCTCCCAGCACCAAGGACATTGCATGCACAAGCAGTGGAGGAGCCTGTAGCAATGCAATCCCCTACCTGTTCAGGCACGAGGCCCCATCGTACCCCCCAGCAGCATAGAGAAGCCCATGAAGTGCTGCTACACCCAGACAGCTCCTCCTGGTGCCCATGGACACCTCAGGTTGCCAGGAATTGGTGACAGGATCATAGGACTCCACTGTAGCCAAGTCAGAGGTCCCGTCGTAGCTGTTGGGAGAAAAAGGGAGAACAAGCTGCTCAGAGAAGCTGTGGCTGCCCCATCCCTGGAAGTGTCCAAGGCCAGGTTGGACAGGGCTTGGAGCAACCTGGGCTAGTGGAAGGTGTCCTTGCCCATGGCAGGGTGTTGGAACAAGATGACCTCAAAAGTTCCTTCCAACCCAAACCATTCTGTGATTCTGAGAGAAATGGGGGTGGAACCATGCCAGTCCAGGACACGGCCACCACCAAAACAAGAGCTGGTGAACTCACAACTCCGAACCACAGGGCAGGGAAGGGCTTTTCAGTTGCTACCCCACAGATCCTGGATGGTCCATCCAGAGGTGAGCTCCGGGAGGCTCTGCTGGCCACCCCTGCTCCTGGGGCAGCTCTGTGCTGCTCTCCCCACAGGCTCTGCTCACACCCCACCACCTCCCGTGCCCTCCTTACCCGCCCACAGCGTAGAGCTTGTTCCCAATGGCCGCGACGCCCACCCTGGCCCTGCGCGTCGACATGGAGGCCACCATGTGCCACCGGTCCGTCCGCGTGTCGTAGGCCTCACAGTCCCCGTGGATGGCAAACAGGCTCCCTCCACCTGGGAGGGAGGGCAAACAGAGCAAACCCGGCCCACAGGGCCCCGGGACAGGGTCGGGATGCGGGTGAGGGGGCTCCCTTCGCAGGGCCTTACCCACGGAGAAGAGCACCGTGCTGGCCCCCTCGCAGCGCCGCGGCCTCGTCCGGCTGTTGCTCAGGACGCCCCTCTGCTCCGGCATGAGGTGGTACTTGAGGGCTTCGATCAGCAGGTCCTTGCACTCCGAGTGGTGCCGCACCAGCAGCTCCGTGTCCACGTTGCTCATGAGGAAGTCCCGGCTCAGCAGGGGCAGTCGGACGCACTTCATGAGCTGCGAGGGGAGAGGAGGCCTTTGGATGGGGATAAGGCAAGGGGGAACAGGTTTAAACTAGAAGAGGAGAGATTTAGGTTGGATATTAGGGAGAAATTCTTCTCTGTGAGGGTGGTGAGGCTTTGGCACAGGTTGCCCAGAAAAGCTGCGGCTGCCCCATCCCTGGAAGTGTCCAAGGCCAGGTTGGAGCAACCTGGGCTAGTGGAAGGTGTCCATGGCCATGGCAGTGGGGTGGAATGAGAGGAGCTTTAAGGTCCCTTCCAATACGGACTGGAAATGGTATGATGGGACCTGCTGTCCCTCCAGCCATGTCCCCACCCAGCCCAGGCACTCAGAGCTGGTGGGTAGATCCAGGCCACCTTCCCAGCACACACTCACCCTGGGGACGTGCTGTCTCCTGCTGTCCACATCATGTTTGACCCAGCTGAGCACAGCCCGGTACACCTCCTCCTCCGATGGCACATTGAGGCTGTCACTAGAAATGAGGTCCAGCACCTGCAGAGCAGGGTAAAAGAGGCAGTGTTGGTTGGTATGGACGGGGAGGAGAGGAGACATTCACACCTCCAAGGAACTGCATTGCCAGAGGCAGAGCCCTGCCTCCTGTAGATGCTGGAGGTTGAAGGGTGCACAGCCCTGGGTCCCCCAAACCAGGAGGTGCAGCTGGTGTGGAGACAGCTCTGCCCTCAGTCATCATCCCCCAGCTCATCCCCCCCTTCTGTGGCTGAAGCTGCTGCAATTCCTGACACTTCCAATCAATGTCAGTGAGAGCAGGCAGACGACTCTGCTTGCACAGGCCCCTTCAATATTTCATGGGACAGACCCGCATGGCCTGGCTGGTTCCAGAGCACTCATTTCACTTGCCAAGGACTGTGGAGCCAGAGCAGGTGGAGATATGCACCTCCCCTCACTGCCACGCACCCCCTGCCCCAAGAAGGGGTGAAAGGAGGTGTCTGGGTCCTGCTGAGGGGCCACACAGGGTCAGAGCAAGGTGCAGAGCAAGGACCAGGAGTGCCTCCTGGCCAGGGCACAGCAGAGGAGCCAGGGGCCATCCTGGCACACGATGAACAGCAGGAAACATTAGCTGAGCTCTGAATTAAACATCACAGCTACGTGACCAGGGCAGGCAGGACTTATTCCCTGGACTGTGCGCTCAGAGCTCACATGGCAAGCACCAGTGACCAAAATTATCCTCTGTCCTACCCTCCCATCCTTAATTCCCATGGGATTAAGTTCTCTGACAGCAATCTTCCCACACATTGAACAGAGAGGATCAAAGCACAGAATCTGGGTATGTTCCCTTGCCAAACTCTGTCCCCTCAGTGCAGGTTCCTTGGGCTTTTGACACACAGGCTGTGCCTTCCAGGACAGAGCACGAGAAGCTTTGCTGCACCCACACCTTCACACTCCCGTCAGGGGCCTCACCTGTTTAAGAGGCAGCAGCATGAACTCCTCTGTCTTGGACACCTCCACGAAGTGTTGGAGGACGTACTTGTGAGCAGACTTGAGGAGGTCACTGCAGGAGTGGGTGTCAGCAAAGCCCCGGATCCCCAGGCAGTTGGATGGGTCGAGCTGGCTGAGCAGGAACTTGCAGCAAGCATCCCGCACACCATTGAGCTGAAGCAGGCTGGCAGCAGGAAGAAGTGTCTGGCAGTGGGAAAGAACGGGGGAAAAGAGAGTTTCCAGGGCAAGGAAACCATTTCCACCCTCGTCTCACTGCAAGCCACGAGCAGAACAGGTTTACTGAGCACCTTCAGGCACACAAGCGCAGGGAAGGACAGAGCATTCCTTGTTTCCAAGAGAACTAAGGTAAAGAACAGCTGAGAAGGACACCAGTAACACCCCACAGGGCCAGGAGAATGGCAGGTGCTCAGGAATAGACCTGGGCATTGCACAGTTCTTTGAGGAGCCATTCCCAGCCCCTCTGGGCACGGGGAAGCAGGTGAACTCCCTGACCACTGCTAGATCCAGCTGCCTTCACGGAAAAAACAGCTGGCAGTGCTGAGCAGAAGGAAAGAAGAGTCCCCAGGAGGCGAGTTTCGTACAGAACAGCTTTGTGGAAGGGAGGGATTCTGGGGGGGAAGCTCCTACCTGCACGTTCCCCTCTCCCACCACGATCTCGGCGGTGTAGGCGTATTGCACCAGCTGCTCCAGGGCCTGGGGGTCGATGTCATGCAGCGTCACGTGGGTCTGGCGGCTCTCACTCATCTCATCTGGGGCAACACAGACACAACAATGAGCAAAAATCCCTCAGCAGGACTTGTTTCCCCACAGGAGAGTCTAACCAAGCCTCATCCACCTCCGCATCACAGCCCAGGAGGGTCTTCTGCCCCTCTCTTAGCAAGGAGTGCGCTCTAGGGAAGGGGGTCCATGTCTGCAGGAGGGGTATCAAGACACCTCTGCAGGGGTTATGGGCACAGGGGTTCAGGGTAGGGAGTCAAAGGAGGAGTATTACTGCACTTCCTCACTGAAATGACACACCGGCACCACAATTCCATAGGGCAGGGCAGCGAGAACAGGGAGCAGGGCAGAATGCGGAGGGGTTGGCAGAGGGCAGAGGGTTTGGAGGGCAGGGAGAGCCTGTCCACGGGGGAAAGGAGGACTCTCTACTTGCTTGTGAACATGGCGTGGAAGTACGGGCTGCACGACGCCAGCACCACCTTGTGGGCCTTGATCTCCTTGGTGCCCACATGGAGCACGATGTCGCAGAGCAGCCCCCGCTGCCTCATGCGGTTCATGCACACGAAGGCATCGTGATAGTGGCGCTTGGAGTTGTGGGAGATGCTGTGCCCGTCGCGGTTGAGGAGCTGCACACCCCCTTCCATGGCTGCAGGACGGAGCTGGGGGGTTTTCCCCTTCTCACCGGCTCTGGCATGGGGGAAAAATAAAGTATTAGTCAGGCAAAAACAGCTCCAGCTTCACATTGAGAGAGGGTAGGGCTAGATGGGATACTGGGGAGAAATTCTGCCCTGTGAGGGTGGTGAAGCCCTGGCACAGGTTTCCCAGAGAAGCTGTGGCTACCCCATCCCTGGAAGTGCCCAAGGCCAGGTGACAGGCTTGGAGCCAACCTGGTCTAGTGACAGGTTCCCTGCCCATGCAGGGTTGAAACTGTTTGCATCTTTAGTTCCCTTCCCAGTCCAGTTATCTGTAATTCAATGACTCTATAAAAACAAAAAATTGCCTAATCAGGGAACAAGGGCATTTTATTTGTGCTGAGACGTTTCCTCCCCACGCTGTTTCCATCCAGGCTGCTCACGCTGTTTCCAAAGGCGTTTGACTGTCTCCGTGCCAGCATCACCCAAAAGGTGGGGATGAGGGGAATGACTGAGCACAGTGGGAGAGGGGAGGGAGCAGGAGAAAAAAGCAGCTGAATATGAAAATAAGCACGCTGTGCTGCACGCGTCGCCTGCCCCGCATCCCCTGCGGGCGAGGAAATCCCCCTCAGCCTCCCCTCACACCTACACCCGCCGAGCCGGGCCTAAAAATAGAAACCCACCGCTCTGTGCCTGCTCAGCCACGAATGCAGCCATCTATTCCTTTTTTTTTTTTTTTTTTTAAGTAGCAGTTGTATCACGTACTAGAGTCTGGGGGAGGAAAAAAGATGAATAAACATGTTTCCTGAGCGGAGAGGAGCCTGCGATGCCCTTTTCTATTTGCATCAGCCTCTGTGATACGAGAATTCCTCATCTCGTTGTCAGCAGGGGAAGGCTCAGGGGCACACAACAAAGGCAGTGCCTGTTGATGCTTTCCAGTAGTGAGAGCAGGGTGCCACGGTGCCCTTGACAGGAAAGAAGGGCCTGTGAGGTAACTGGCCTCCTCCTACACCCCTGGGAAAGCTGCAGCATCCCCAGGATACCCTCTCTCTCCTAATTCACATGTGGACATAAGAGATGCCTGCACAAAGGAGGTTTATAGTTATTAACATCTCTGCCTGGGCTCCAGAGGTCCTTTCCCAGAGCAGGTTTAGGGCAGAGGGTAGACAGTGCTTGCCCACCTTTATTCCCATCCCTAGCTGCAAGCTCAAGGGTTTTCCTCACCTGCTTGAGCTGGTTTCTCTGTGTAACACACTGCTGAGCATACTCGTCCCCATCAGTATTTAAGTCATGTTCCAGCTCTAAAGCACTCGCCTCATCTCTCCTGGGTGCTGGGAGTGAGGAACGGGAGCTCCCAGCTCCTCAGCAGCAGGGGGACAACGCAGGACAGGGCAGAGGAGCTGGGAAAAGATGGGATTTCTTCTCCTTGTGCTCTGGGAGACTTGTGAGGGAAGGTTAGCCACCCTGGAGGAGCACAGAACTGGGCTCCAGCGGTCAGGGGAGGGACAGAGAGGGCACAGCAGGCTGAAGGTGGCTGCGGCCGACGCACTGGCACGGCAGGAATCAAACGCGATTCCAAAGAGTCGGAAGCGCTGGGCTCCCTTCCCAGCCCTGCCACTGAGTCACTGCATGACTCTGGGCAAGTACAAATGCAGGATGACAAGGGGTGACATTATCTTTCCTTGCTATGATTCTCGTGGCCAGGAGAGCAGCGATTGCTCAGTCCCCTCTCCAGGCACACCTCCCTGCTGTCACCGGCGAGGGGCCACCCCGAGCTATGTCCCCTCTGTGTCACCTGGTCTCTGATGCGACCAAGCAGGGAGCAGGGCTAGAGGGAGATGCCATCCCACTGCCACTGGGCTCCACGAGCATCCCCACAGCCAGGGGACAGTCCCACAGGCAGCCTGAACCAGCTCTGCTTGATGGCTTTTTGGCTACAGCCACACCACAGCCTCAGCAATCCAGCTCTGAAGAGCCACTCACCCACCCACCAGCCCCTCTGGGTCAGGGTCACCCTCCTGAAGCCCTGGCATGGGGCTGCTTGAAGGTTTGAAGTGGGTACAACGCCTTCAGTCCCGCTTCCCCCTGTCCCCTCTGCTCCACAACAACTTGTTCCCAACAGAGCTCTTTTGCTTTAATGGATCAGAATATATAACCAGTGGGGAAAAAGGAAAGGAACAGAAAGGAACAGAAAGGAACAGAAAAGAACAGAAAAGAACAGAAAAGAACAGAAAGGAACAGAAAGGAACAGAAAGGAACAGAAAGGAACAGAAAGGAACAGAAAGGAACACCTCACTGCTGCTCATGCTGCTCCCAGTGCTGAACCCTCCACCTCGCTGGCAGCACTAAATATTCCTGATTTCCTTGTTAAAACTTCATTCCCAGGAAATGAAGGCCTACGAGTGCCACTAAGATGTAATTAATGGGGAACAGTGCCTGGACCACGGGAGACAGTGAAGCAGTGTCCCGAGCTCCAGAGGGGGAAAGGAAACACAAGCCCACTTTTGTGGAGCACACAGCAGCAGGAATGCACGTGTCACGCGTCGGCCGGGGCGGATGCGGTGCCTGACTTGTAATAACTCCGAGGTTATGGCAAAAAAAAAAGGGGGGGGAAAAAAATAAAAAGGAATAAAAAAGAAGGCGTTTGTTTGGCTTCCATGCGACAGAGCGTGGCCGTGCATAACAGCTCTGTTAATTAATGCAAATGATCCCTGCCCCCAAAGGGAGGCCTGTTCTCTCTGCACAAAAAAACCATATTTTGCTGGGAGTGAAAAGAAGTGTGTTGAACAATAAACAGGGAACAGAGTATCCCCCAGGGAGGAGTTCCGAGCCTGCCCTTTCCCCAGGAAGGCCCTGGAGAATGGCTTTTTTGTTGACAGCCTGGATGGGGATTTTGTGTCTGGCAGGCGAGTTGGGAGACCACGAGGACACATCCTGTGCAGCTGGTCAGATGTTGGGGATGAGGCTTTGCTGGGGATGAGAGGACATCCCCTACTCCAAGGCATGCCATGCCCTAAGGCCTGACACACAATCGTCCTTAAATCCATCACCTCCACGTGTGCCCTATCCCTGTGTTGATATCCCAGTAAGCCAGTTACAAAGCCCTGTTTTGTGTGCACATCATTCCATCTCCCACAGAACTGCTGCCATTGGACCTGTGGAAAAGCCATGGAGCCCCTACTTGGCACTCACCTCGACCCCAGTGTGTCACAGCACTAACAGGGCAGCAGAGACCAGTTTCCCTTTCAGGGGAGTGGTCCCCCCCACCCCGTTCCTGGGCACTGGGGGTCCATTCCCCAGGCACAGAGTCCCTGTTTTTGCCTGCAGACCTCCTCTGGCTCAGCCCTAGGCAGGCAGGGGCTCCTGGCAGTGCTACTCTGTTGTGCCCAGCAGCTTCAGATCTCCACTCCCAGAGCTGGAGCCAAAGCAGTGCCCCCACAATAGCACAGAACTCACCCAGGGGTGGAGCAACAGCACGGATCCCTGGGGAAGGAGGGGACCACAGTGGAGTCACAAGCAGGAATCACTCCTTCCAAGTGCATCTCCATCTCCCCTGCACCAGAAATCAGAATTCCCCTTTTTAACCCCCTCTGAGAGGATTCACAGCCCATTTTCCAGTCCAGCATTCCCCAAAGAACTGAAACGTGCAACACCACTCAAGGCAGGAGCAGACTGGGGCAGCCCAAGGGGGCACAGGCAAAGCCCTGCCCAGCTGTGGGGGTGGGCACAACTTCCCTCCTGGGAGCAGGGCTGGGAAGACACGATGTGCTCCTGTGTTCCTGCAGACTCTTCCTTCCCTTCCACAGCCAAGGGACACAAACAGCTGAGCTGGCAGTAACAACAGAGGCTGTTGTGCTGTGAGACCATTAACAGAGCTCGTGCCAGCATCCAGAGATGCAGCTGAGCTCACTGCACATTTCACCTTCCTTATGGCTTTGTGGAGACCCCAAATTTGGCTGAGCTGACCCTTTTGTGGAACCCTTCCATGGCTCTGAAGCCCACTAAGCAGAAGCTTTAAACTACCAGACAATTAGCAGCATTTTTGCATCAATAATCAGATGCCAGGGCTGTTTTCACAGACTACAGCAGATATACACTGCACTTACAGCTCAAGCCTGGATATCCCAAATTCTTCCTTCTTTCAGAGGGCCTGGAACTGCCTACTACAAAATATATTGCTTTCCTACCTTTCCTGCTCCCTTCCCCACGATAAACACCAGCAAAGAGGATTGGGAATCATCCAGTTGTATATGCCCAGGACTCAGATGCAAAGCAGGCTCTAAATCCAGGCAGTTGTCCCCACCAGGACATGTCACATTAGTGTCACTGACACAGATAGAAAAAACTGCTCACTACAATGCTTTGGGGTTCAGTCCCTCCTCAGCCCCTGTAAGGCTTTGCCTGGATCCAGGGAATTCAGGCAGACACTGACAGTGTGCAGCAGCTCACATTCAGCCTTTTTAATACAAGGTTCATTGCCTGTTCAGTCTAGAAGAGTCAGCAACTGGAAGGAAGCAGAGGGAGGAAGCTGGTTCAGGACAAGGGAGTGAGATGCTCTGAACTGCAGGTCCTGCAAGGGCTGATTTACAGCTGCACCTTGGACAGGGGTGAGGGCTGAAAACGCCGATGGGAAGTGTGACATAACGTGGCAAAGGGAGCTGTCATTCCTGGCACCAGCTCTGCCTTCAGGAGGGACACCAGAACTGGGAAGCTGGTGGTTTCAGCCCAGACTGAGGGCTTGGACACCTTGGAGCCCTCTGGCAGCTCCTGACGGAGCTGAGAACACACAAGTGGGGTGAGGAGCAAGGAGGAGCACACCCCCAGCCCCAAACACCTCTCCCCACCTCCTCTCCTCTCTGCTGTTCCCCCTGCCAGCCCTGCCAGCCCTTCCCCAAGCCCCCCCCGCTGCGGGTGGGAGCCGAGGCACTCGCTGCTCCTGCGGATCCATGGAATTAATCTGCTCTGAGCCAGCCTGAAGGCAGCACCGGGGCACCGCAGACAGCGCTGAGTCTGCAGGACTGAGAATCCCCAGCTCTCAGTAGGGTTTGGTGGTGTGGGGTTTTTTTTGGTTTTTTTTTTTTTTTTAATGAATTAGGCATAACTGACACGCACTGAATCCTCCTGTCTAGACATCTGCAGAGAAGTGACAAGCTGCCAGAGAGGATGTGGAGCCTCGGCAAAGGGGGTGGGGAGGACAGGGAAAAGCTGCACACAGTTGCCAGCTCTACAGCACAGAGACAGTGCTGGCTCCAGGCAAGAAGGGCATTCAGCACACTGACCTCGGCAGTGTCTTTCAGCAACTCACTGGGTTGTAATCAATCGGCCCCTGGTGCACACAGAAGGCTGGAGGTCTTTTCTAATTAAAGCCTCGCTCCCCAATACTCCTGGGGAGCTTTGTTTGGAAGCTCAGCTCGAAGTTGCTCTCAAGTCACCCCAGCTCACGCTCAGAAGCGCTTCAGCTGTGAGAGGAGGGAGCCTCAATGCACTGGGACATTCTCATACCTGAGAGAGATGAAGGGCATCCAGCCTGCTTGGTGCCCACCTGAGTACACAGCCTTCTCCCTCACTTCCCACAGGCAGCAGCTCTTCCTGCAGACATCTTCAAATCCAGCTTTCTCCTTCCTTATTTTGCTGCTCCAAGCAGGACTCCACGGTTGAGGGATTTAGAGGCATCTGAGCTAAGGCTTGGGTCATTTTCAAGTAATTGGCTGTGAGGGTCAGGACTCGAATAGGTTTGGGACTGCTGAACTCCCAGGTTAGGGAGGAACAAGAAATGGAAACGGATTCATGCCTTGAGATGCTCAGCAAAACGTGCAGTTCTGCAGCTGCACTGGGGTTACACTGGGGTTACAGTCCAGCCCAAAGTGCACCAAGGCCTAAGTGAAATGAGCCCTTTGACTCTCTCAAGGACTGGAAATGTGGGTCGTGTCCTAATTCCCCCTTCCCAGTGTCCCCCAGCAGGCACGGGAGAGGAGCTACTGTCGCATCCAGAGCTATTTTTCGGCACCAGCAGTGCCAAACCTCCACACACAGGCATAAAGCAAGTCCCCTCTCCAGGCAGCAGGGATAATCACCAGCTTCAGCTGCACTGCCCAGCACTGTGGTATTCCTGCCATCCCTCTGCCCTTCCCTGTGACAGACATCTCTGTCCCCAGCTCGTTTTTCAGACAGGTAAACACAAGATGAGAGCACTCAGGTCACTGGAGGCAGCCTGTATCCAAGCACCTCCATATTCCTGGCTCCTAGACTTGCCCAGGAGCTCCCTCTCTATCTGCAACATCCTTGGCCAGCAGCTGTTTAAAGAGGGATTGTGCCCTTTACCTGTCTGCTGTGCAAGATGATGGTGGCTCGAGAAGGTGGGGCAGTTCAGAGCAGGTCACTCATGCTCAGCAGTGCCCTGATGTCAGACAAAAGTGATGGATTTGGGGAGACCCAGCAGGAGACATCACCTGGCTCCTAAAGGGAAGGTTGACTCCATGACACGGGGCAGCGTGGCCTCGTGGCTCCAGAAGCAGGGAAAGGAGGAAAAAGCACCTGGATCTGCTGGCTGCAAACAAGCAGGCAGATCTTTTACAGATGGACAAGACACGGAATAATTCCGCTGGCAAGTGCTGCCCAGGAGTGACTCTCCAGACCAGGAGGTCACCAGAGGAGGTCACCACCTGCACCCCGGCTCACCCCTTCCACAGGACCCACACCACGTTCCTGGAGGGTTTACAAAGCCTCCTGCCAGCCTCTGTTGTAGTGTGGGCTGGCAGCATGGACGTACCAGACCAGATCCACCTCTCCTCCTCTGAACCAGCTCTCAGCTTCACACTGTGGAGCAGTGGGAGCCTGTTTTCAAGCCAGAAAACAAGAGGATTCCCTCACATCTTCTGCCAGGCAACAGCACGGGCCACATACACGAAAACTGAGCTATGAGGAGCATGTGACATAATGGCCTTGAGCTCGCTGGTACAACTGGGGGCCTGCCAAGGCCCTGGGAATTTCAGCTGAAGGAGCTCGAATTCCTGCCCCTGAGGAGTCACATCCTTTAGAGAAGGTTTGCAGCCAGTTCCAGCAGGCCAGACAGAAAGGATGAAGCCTCTCAAGCCTCCCAAGCCCAGCTTGCCTAAGGGTTTGGAGGCAGGGCTCCAGCACCTGAGGAAATCCAGAAGCACTGGGACTTCAGTATTTTTTTAAGCTGCTGAGCCTGAAATGCAGCAAAACAAGCCCAGAACCGTCTCCCCAGCAGTTCTCCAGCCTTCAGAGCACTCCTGCCTTGATTTCCATGCGCCACTCCATCTACAGAGACCCGGCCTGATGCTGAGGGAGCAAGGGCAGATGGCCACTGTCTTTTCTGGCAGAACAAAGACGCTCCACTGCCACCCCCACCAAGCTGACCTCAGTTGACAGGAAGCATCAGGGACCATCCCTGCTACCCAAGATGCTATGGAGCAACTCCATTTGGATCCTGGGCTATCAAGCCAAGAGAGCAGGTGCCTGTTATGCCTGCCAGCTCCTGGTGTGCTCTGAATTAGATGCTATTTGCTGTGATTCATTAATCAGTCAGTGCTCAGGAAGGAAACTCAGATCTCTACATCCAACATCTCTGAGTCTTACTCACTGCTATGCTGAATAAAGGATTTCCAGCAGATGTTCATGGGTTGGGAGAGAAACTTGGGGTGCAGAGGGAGGAGATTCCACAGAGATGTTTGTTTAGCTGTAGGGACCATAACCAAAAGGCCATTAGACTCTGAAGTGTTAGTGAGCCCCAAAACAGCAAACCTGTAACAGAGCAGCATCTCCTGGTGCAAAAGGCCAGACTGCTGGGATCAAAAGCACCCAAATATCCACATGTTGCTGAATCACTCCAGAACTAACCTCCCTCCTGGTGGTCTCCAGCAATAGAGAGACCCCCCAAAACAGTGCTATGGTATAGCAAGCATTGAGGCCACAGGAGAGCTGTCTCCCTGTGGAGAGACCCCACCAAAGCAAGGCCACTGCTTCTGCAGTCTGAGCCTGGCACAAAGCCTGGTCGGTGGCCAGAGCAGAGACACACAGAGCAGGGACTGACACACAGAGCAGGGACTGACACACAGAGCAGGGACTGACACACAGAGCAGGGACTGACACCCTTCCTTGCTGTGGGGAAGCCGAGGTCACAGGGCTGTCACTCCCTGGAGAGGGAGGCATTTGCTCAGCCAGCAGTACCAAACCAGCTGCCTGCCTGGCCTGCTGCTCCCAGGATCAGCTCCAGCAGCAGCAGCAGCGATGTTGTAGCTCAAGGAGAGCCCTCTGCCCTGACAGTCACTGCAGAGGCCACAAAAAAAGCTGTGTCCTACTTCCTCCCCCCCCTTCCCCACTCCCAAGTTTCCAGAAAACCCGAGGCAACATTTCTCCCTGTGTCCTTCAGCTCCCCCATCACCAACAAAACACTGATACCGGTGTGCTTCCACCCAGGGCACGGAACACCAAGGCCAGGCCAGACCCCTCTCTGCGGCTGCTCCCCGGGCTCCAGAGCTGCGGCTTTTCCCTTTACCAACGGGATCTCTCCAGGACTTGGCAGAGGACAGGGAAAGGAGGGCACGCTCAGCACAGGGATGCTGCCGGCCTCGGCCACGGGGATGCCGCGGTGCAGAGGCTGGAGACGGCATCGGCTGTTCCAAACCTTTGGAAATGTTTTGGAAGCGGCACCGGTTGTACCAAACCTTTGGAAAAGGTTTCCCCCAGACCCCGAGAGCAAACTTGCCTTCCCAGGAGGGATGCGCAGGAGCAGCAGAGTGGGGGAGCTCCTCTCGGGGGTCCCCCCTGCTGCCTGTCCCCCCACCTCCCACGGTAACCCCTCCGGTTTGCCCCACACCCCAAAACCCCTCCGGATGCCCCTCCTCCCGCGGGGTCCGGGTCCCCTGGCCCTGCCGGGGAGAGGGAGGGGAAGAGGGAGAGGAAAAGGGAGGAGGAGAGAGAAAGGGAGAGGGAAAGGGAAAGGAAGAATAAAAGGGAGAAGGAAAGGAAGAGACAGAAGGAGAGGGAGAAGGAGAGGGAGGGAAAGAAGAAGAGGGAGAAGGAGAAGGAAAGGCAGAGGGAGAGGAAGAGAGAGCAGAGCAAGAGGGAGACGAGAAGGAAGAAGAAGAGTGAGAGAGGGAAGGAGAGGGAGAAGAAGGAAAGGG